TGATTTTTATTTTTATTTCTTGTTATTGTACTGATAATGACCGAGTTGAAACATCTTTGAAACGTCGAAAATTCTATTAAAATTTCTATTAAAATATAAAATGTAAACAAACAACACGAAAAAGCTGCATTCTCTCTCTCATTCTGAGAAAAATATACATTTTACTTTCAAGTTAATCGTATAAATGATCAATGCAGTGGTGCTAATCCATGCAAAAATGGTGGTACATGTAAAACATTGTCAAGTGGTAGATTTTATTGCTCCTGTCCACAAGATTATTATGGAAAAACTTGTGATAATAGTAAGAAAATCAATTGTTTATATTTTATAAATGTATATTATCTATCTTATAGAATTTATGTTAACTGGTTCAGCTAATAATGATCGTGGATATACAGATCATTGTGCTAAATCACCTTGTTATAATGGAGGTAAATGTGTCGGATTACGTACAACATATTATTGTAAATGTAAATCACCGTACTATGGAATGAATTGCGATAAAGGTAAAAATTCTATTTTGCTATCGAAGAAAATTATTTTTTGTTTTTATTTATCTTAGAGCTTGGAAAAAGTGAAGCAATCGTTGAATAATCAATGGCATCTGAACAAGATTTGCATTAAAAATTTAATCAAGCCTCGCAGCGTGTTTACTTTCCTGATTTTCTAAAAATGTCCTAATTTTCCTGTTTTTAACTAAAAATCCTGATTTTGTCCTAATATTTTAGGAATTATTCACATAGGAGTGAGTTTACCAAATTTTTATCTTTCCCGTTATTTTACTCCGTCTATTTCGAATTCTTACAAAAATATTTTTACGTGTTTTTATCAAAACGAATGATAAAATTCAAAATACATTTATTTTAACCATTCATTTTTTTCTTAATCGGTTCAAATTTTATATTATTTTCAATTAATTTAGTTTTCGAAGCAACTAATTTACTATTAGCTGCTGGCTGTCACTAGTACTTCGACTGTACTGATATCATCAAATCTTTTATTCTGCATAGGTGCAGCAAGTCTTGTAATTTCTACTTACGAATATTTACTATCTTCATGTGTTAATGATCTTTGATCATTTTGAATACTCACGAACTGAATTCTTGTTTCAGTAGCACTTATTAATAATGTTTTTGTATGTACACTGATGCCATCATTCGTGCTATTTAAGGAAGATGACGACTAATGTGATGATGCAATAAGTGGAATAGAACCAAAAACATCTTGCATACATTGAATATGTTTTGATCGGGGTGTGTGTGAGTAAGGGCGTGGACGAGTACGTGGATCAGAGTGAGAACGTGAATGTGGTATCGGTATGAGTCGCTGAGCGTGTTGATGAAAGACCGTCGCACCCACACCCGTTTCCTCAATTGCCGAATATGTACTATCAAAGTTTCGGGACCAACATCGGGTACTTCTGCTAGTAATTAATTAGCGTACGAAAAGAAAAAGTGCTAATTTCAAGGTAATATATATTACGTAGAAGAAATCTCAACATCGGTTTATTATAACCATCTTTCTATTTGCACTCCATGTTATATTGCTGTTTTGTAAAATAATAATTGAATTATCATAATAGATCATCTAACTCATATGAGAATTTCATTTACAAGAAAAATAATTCTAACAATGAATAAAAAGTATATAGAATATTCTAAAATATTTTATTTTACACATACTGCAGTATATGGGCGAATTGTAAAATTATTGTACTGTACGATTCTTGTAATCACACAAAAAAATTGTAATTTTGCGTCGAATATAAAGCTGATTGGTTGTTTCGTAACATTTGATATGACACTCTTTTCTATGTATCATGTGTACAGTGTAACCCTTGAATGTCTGTCACAGGAGATTAAAGAGGACTTTATAGTATGCAACAATGCGTCTAAAATTGATCGGGTTAGTTTTGAATGCGGATCAGTTGATAGGAGATAAAAGTGAACAAAGACAATGAGACACTTGTGCTAATATTTGTTACAATATATTATGATATAAAAACTAAAAACATGATTGTCACGCGTGATTATTACATATGCATAACTATCTCACACCTGAAGCCATAATAGATACATCCAACATTTTAATTTATTTCATATTTAAGAGGCTATCAAGATTTGTATACAAAGTACCCCTAGTTTGCGTCATATGAGTTGATAAATTCACAAAAAAGGTTTCCGATTATATACATCCTGTAACTGGCTAGACATTTATCTGGAAGGTAAGATTGTAGGTGCACCTCTATGTTTAATCTTTACTTAAATCCAAATCTACATTAAGACATTCTTTCGTTGAAATAACATCACAAGAACTGTTTAGATTTTGTTTGCAATTAGAATGAAATCAATTTTTAGTTTTAATCTAACTATCTTAGATATTACATCAATTTTATTAGTAAGATTTTATCATAAGAAAAATTCTTTTTCCATTTCTTCTACTACCGAGTAATGTCTTTATTATCATTGAGTCATTTAGTTTATATCTTTAAAAGTAGATAAGGAGATATTTATTTCTTCTATAGACTTCTATTCGAAAGCATGGCAATGGTAAACAACCAAACACTATGTTTCACATGCAACAAAGAAAAAATAACATATTCTTGTGAAGGATGTTCACAACGATTTTGTTTTACTGATTTAGCAGAACATAAACAAATATTAAATGATGAACTAAATCATATTATTAATGATTATGATCAATTTAAGCAAACAATTAATGAACAAAAACGAAATCCACAAAATCATTCATTAATAGAACAAATTAATCAATGGGAAACAAATTCAGTTGCAATGATTCAACAAAAAGCAAAAGAATGTAGAGAAAGTGTCATTAAATCATCGCAAACATTTATTAATGATATTGAAATGAAATTTAATGATTTAAGTGAACAAATACAACTACTTCATAAAGAAAATGACTTTAATGAAATTAACTTAAACTATTTAACTAATCAATTAAAAAAAATTACAGAAGAATTAAATGATCCATCAAAGATTTCTATCAAACATGGCTCACATTCATTTATTAATGAAATTTCGATTATTTCGTTAATAAGTAAGTTTTTCAGAAATCATTTTAAAAACTATAACAACAGAGAAAAGTGATGACGAAGATAAAAAAGTGACAAGATATGAAATAGTATTACGTGAAAAAAACTTTCTTCAAAGATTCAAAAAATGTTTTATTGATAAAAACAAAATAGGATTATTTTGAAATTCTTATTTAACAAAAAATAAATCAACAAAATCTTTTCTATTTTTCAATTTTCCTATTCTTTTTAAAACAATTTATTTTTATTTTCTAAATAAAAATCTTCAAACTATTTATGTTTTTTTCAATAAAAATCTTTACAAATTCAACAAGAAAAAGCCAAATAAAATTTGTCTTTTCACTAAATATGTTTTCTGAGTGTCTCGTTGAAACTTCAAGTTTGACAATAACATAATCAAAGTTACAATGAAAATCAATCTTTTCTTTTTTTCTTGGATGAAAAACAACTTTTCTTCTTCTTCATTTTCTTTTGATCAAAATCTTTTGTTTTCATTATTTTCTAGAACCAAAATTTAACAAATGGATACAAAATGCAATCACTGTGGCTGGTGGAGAAGGGAAAGGACAACAATTAAATCAACTCAATAGCCCTTATGGGATCTTTATTGATAAAAAGAAAAATATTTTCATTGCTGATTGTTATAATAATCGTATTGTTGAATGGAAATTTAATGCAAAAGAAGGACAAATTATTGCAGGTGGAAATGGGCAAGGAAGTCGAATGGATCAATTGGATCGACCAACAGATGTAATTGTTGATCAACAAAATCATTCGATCATTATTGCTGATTATGGAAACAGACGAGTGATTCAATGGTTAAATCAAAAGCAACAAGTTCTCATTGACAATATTGACTGTGTCGGCTTGGCAATGGATAAAAATAGATTTCTTTATGTTTCTGATGTTGTGAAGAATGAAGTGAGACGATGGAAAATGGGTGAATACAACAATGAAGGAATTCTAGTGGCAGGTGGATATGGAAAAGGAAATCAACTTAATCAACTGAACTGTCCTACTTATATCTTTGTTGATGAAGATCAATCTATTTATGTAACAGATAGAGACAATGATCGTGTGATGAAATGGAGAAAAGGTGCAAAAGAAGGAACAGTTGTGGCTGGAGGAAATGGTCATGGAGAAAATCCCATTGAATTGTACTTACCTCAGGGATTAATTGTTGATGATTTGGGTCAAATCTATGTGGCAGATAATAATAATCATCGAATAATGCGTTGGTGTGAAGGAAAAAAAGAAGGTGAAGTTGTTGTTGGCGGAATTAGTAAAGGAAATCAGTTGAATCAATTGAATTATCCCACACGTTTATCTTTTGATGATAAAGGAAATCTTTATATTGCTGATTATTTTAATCATCGAATTGAAAAATTTGAAATAGTTTTGTGAATGAAATTTTGGCTTTGAAAAAACAGAAAGAATTGTTTTAGTAAAAAAAGCGAAGAAAAATCTTTTTGGTGTTTTTTCTTCAAGATTGAATTTAATTTGATAATTTTGATTAAGGAATGCTAATAAATAAATGCTAAATTCTTCATCTTTTGTTGATATTTGTCAAATTTTACAGAAGAAAAGAAAATATCTTGTAATTTGAATTAAATTAAATAGAAAGTATTCGCAAAGAAGATTCTATGTTTGATAACATTCTATTTGATAGAATCTGGGAATTCTTCAAAATTCAAGAAGATAGAAATATTTTATGGAAACTTGATAATAAAAATTCAATTTAAAAATGATTTATCGGATTGAAGTCAGTAAAAAGACCTCTTATTTGAAACGTTAAAATAAATCCATGAATAGTTTCATTTAGATAAAAACAAAAACAAAGAATTATAGAAGAAAAATGAACAAGAGATTGGAATACAATCAAAAAATAATAAAAGTTTTATAAATCATACAAAACTCAAATTTGATATTTAATTTCAAAGATTTTTGGCCAAATAAAATTTTTTTTACCTGAATTTTTAAATCAAAACCTCCGAAAATGTTTGTTTTATTTTTTTATTTGAAAATATTAAAATATTTTTTAGATAAATTATTGTAGAAATAACTATTGTATATGAATATATTCAATTGCTGTTAAATTGAATTAATTTTATGAGGAAACTCAACTTATAATATTTTCAATGTTTATTTATTAATAAATATCCTATTATTAATTAATTATTCCAGTCTAATAAAAACTTTTCTTCAATGAGGAGTAAAAACATTATGCCATGTCAAACATTTTCGAAAAGTTCAGACTATTTCTGCTGGGAAAAACATAAAACTACTAGAAAAAAACTTCTTCGGTGGAGGGGAATTATTGAATAAAAATTTATGAAAAGATTAAAATAAATCAAGATGAGTTTTTTATTCAAATAAAGAATAATACAATATGCAGATATTTAAATACTCAAGATTAGTTTTTTGGAATTTGATTATCTATTATATTATTTATATTTTTCTGTATTGAAAATTTCGTGCAATTAAAAGAGGTTTTTAGACCAGGTGTTGAAAAATTTAACTATTATACAGACGAATACATTGGCTAACCTATATATAATGAAGATATTAATTTGTGTCTAGATGTGTGAGTACAAAATTGCATCTCTTTTCTTTAGAATGAGTTCCAAATAAAAATAATCATAAATGCATCTTTTATTTTTTTGTTATCTATGAATATAACGTAGTTGTTATGATGCTTCAAATGGCTGGATCTATTATAACTAGCTGATTACTGATAGAAGGATCAAATGATTATCTTAACGAAAAAACAAAAATGACTCTCAATTTAGCTCAATTCATTGTTCTTTGACTTAATATTTGAGTCATTTCAGACATATTTTTTCGTATATTTTAATTTATAATAGAAACTTCCAACAACGCTTTCTGCTCGTTTCATATCGTATCCACATCAAAGAACAAAAGAACATGAATTATATTGTTATCAGCCCCATTCGATACTATCCAAGTGAAGATTAAAATTCATACAGTACTATTTTATTCTAGTAGATATATATTTATTTATCGATTATATAAGTTAACAACCAGCATATATGCAACAATTTTTTTCATTGATTAAACTAAGAAAATATGATACGTGTATCAGTCATTAACTACTAAATAATTTTCTTTCATTTCAATACGTTATTCGTTGTTTTTGTTAATCATCGAGGAAAACATTATGTATGTATTTATTTTTAAAATCTTGCGTAAAATATATACGTTAATAATATTGGATAGATCAATTTTGTTGATTAAAATATTTACTACTCCATTCACCTGCGAGCTCTCGGCAGTGGCTAGTATGATAGCCTAAGCATATGCAATGTTATCTGCAATATGTTTTAAAAAATAACACTTACGCAGAAAAATCAACTTTTATTTTCAACTTGATTAATTGTTTGCTTTTTTATTTGAAATTAGAAACAAATCAATTTTTACTTTTACTCCAATCATCTTACATATATTACACCAGTTTTATCAGTGAGATTTTGTCATAAAAAGATTCTTTTTCGATTTCTTCTACTACCGAGCAATGATTTTATTATCATTGAGTCATAAAGCCTATATATATATATAAGTAGATAGGTTGATATTCATTTCTTCTATAAGCTTCTATTCAAACACATGGCAACGGCAAGTAACAAAACACTATGTTTTAAATGCAAGAAAGAAAAAATAACATATTCTTGTGAAGGATGTTCAAAAGAATTTTGTTTAAAGGATTTAACAGAGCATCAACAAATGTTAAACGAAGAATTAAATCATATTATTAATAACTATGATGAATTTAAACAAAGAATTAATGAACAAAAACAAGATCCACAAAATCATTCATTAATAAAACAAATTAATCAATGGGAAACAATTTCAATTGAAATAATTCAACAAAAAGCACAAGAATGTAGAAAGATTGTCCTTAAATCTTTACAAACATTTATTAATGATATCGAAAATAAATTTAATGATTTAAGTGAACAAATAAAACAACTTCACAAAGAAAATGAATTTAATGAAATTGATTTAAACTATTTAACAAATCAATTAATAGAAATTAAAGAAGAATTAAATAATCCATCAAAGATTTCAATTCAACAAAATTTACAATCATTTATTAATGAAATTTCGATTATTTCATCAATAAGTAAGTTTTCTGTAAATGATTCCTAAAAGAATGATTTGCATTTTTATGAACATATGCTAAAAACCTATAAAAAGAAAGAAAAGTGATAACCAAGAAGATAAAAAGATTGAGAATACTATTGATTTATTTAATCAATAATAATCGAATTGATAGAAACAGAGAATTCAATTTATTTGTATGTAAAAGAAAAAAACGATAAGATATGAAATAATATTTAATTAAAAATAAAACTAAATTATTTTAAAATTTTGCTAATTATTTGAAGAAAAATTAAATATTTAATGTTAACGCATCATTAGAATTTCATCACTTTAGATCGTTCGTGTTAAAATCTCTTGATAGATTAGAAAAATTAAAATGTTTTATTTTGCTTTATTCATCGCGATTAAACAGATATTTTTTCTATTATTTCAAAGAAAAAAAAATAAGATTTTCTAACGACTACAATAATACTTACCACTTGATTTCTTTGTTATTTTTATTGAATAGATTGTTAGAAAATAAATTTATCCTATAGAGTTTATGTGATATTCGTACAGCAGAAAAGAAATAAATGATATAATATATAAACGATTTTATGATTATCTGCAAATGCGATGTTTTATTTTTGTTCCTTTTGAAAAATGAAATGTATTGAACGATAAATATGTGGTATCATTGAAATAAATAATTTAAAAATGAATATTTTCAATCACTATTAAGTTCGAATTTTATATATTCAATAGAAACTAGTAACATCGAAATAATCTCAATTGAATTTTTTCAGATTTTCTTTTCGAAATTCAAAATATTTGATCGTCTAACATAGTATGTAGCTAAAACAGTGAATGATCATATCTCAATCTGAAACTTTGCATATGGAAAATAGATGTTCTTTGTTTTATATGAACTCTTTTTAAGATTTGAATATCTTTAGAAGAAAATGTTCTTTTGATCTGAAGATTTCGAGATGTTTTATTGTTGAATAGATTTATCAATGAATAAACTCTCAAATATAAATTTCATTATTGAATCTTTATTAAAAATATATCATATCATAAAACTGATACTCTCGATAAACTTATTTTAACTCTGAACAAAAAGTCCAAAAAAAATTTATCTTTTGAGATTTTTTATATCACATTAAAATCTTTATTCAGTACAAAAAGAATGGAAAAAAACGAAATAAAATCAGTTTCATCTTGAGAATCAAAATACATGTTCTGAGTTTTCGAAATTTCGTCAATAAAACTCCCATGAGTTTGACATTACCCATTCGGAAAAATCTAAACATATAGTACTTGATGAATATTGAAGAAAATTCTACAAATCATGATAGTCGAATATCTATCTAAGAATCAGATAGAAAGTTTCTTCTTTTCTTCCTATTAGAATAAAATAACAATAATTGAATGAAATTTTTCTCATTTAACATGAGCATTTAAGAAGTATTTTAACTATTGAGTAAATCAATGATGATTAAAATATTCTGTTCAATTGTAAAAATTATCAATAAATGAGAAACAATTGAATTTATAATCTGAAAATCAAATGGAATTTCATTCAATCTCACAAATTGTTGTTTTCATCTATTTACTCCACTGTTGAGTTCGAAAGTAGGTGATTTATAAATCAATATAAATAAATCGATTTATAAATCATAAATTTTTCAACCGAAAATTTAAAATAGTTATAAATATTTTTTGTATTTATAAATACCGGATTGATTTATAAATCCGGTCCATTTACAAATATATGAACGATTTATAAATATCTACTCGATTTATAAATATCTACTTGATTTATAAATATATGGCCGATTTATAAATATCAACCTGACTAATAAAAATAACTCGATTATAAACGAATATTGGATAAATAAGTGCGAGTATATTGTATAAGCACCTGACCAGTTTACGAATTTTGAACTGATTGATAAACAAAAGCGATTAAATTATCTTTATCATTTTAACTTAAAATATGAGTATATAACATCCTCGTGGTGGAATATAATTTTACCAAATTTAAAAGCACTATTGTCACGAATTTCTAGTAGACATTTAGACAGCTTCGAATTTCTAGACTTATCAATTTACCAATTTCGACCCTGTTTTATTTATAAATCTCGACCGCATTTATAAACATTTTAAATTTTTTCGATTTCTGGTAAATTTAAATTTTTGTCAAAATCATTTTAAACTCAACAGTGATTTATTCAGAGTACAGTTTTCTCAAGTGAATATCGAAGAGATCTTTTCAAAGTTTAATATTATAGAAAGATGTTTATTGAGAAGAGAATTTCGATAATTCTCTTTGTGATTATTAATTTAATGAGTTAATAAAACTAGTTTCCGTTTCTTCATATTTATCAGTAAAGAAAAACGTTTTGTCTAATAATTTTCTATAATTAGTAATCGAAAATCATTGTTATAATAAAATTAATACAATGAACCTTTAGAAAGAAGAAATTGAAAACTTTCATTGTTTTAATATGGGTATAAATTGATATTCTCTGATAAACATGAATAAATTATATTTAATTAAAATTCATTGAGATTTATCTGATTATTTTAGAAATCTTTATCATATTGTTTATTTCTTCTCTTTCATTTTATTTTATTTCGATTTGGATTAAATTTCTTTTATTAATCGTTTTTTACTATTTCGTTTTTCTTTATTCTCTGATATTTCTAACATTAATCATTATGATGAAATCGATAGATGTTCTATATTTATAAATTTTTTTAAATAAAACTAAAATATACAAATATAGAGTTCTAAGAAATTTTTCATTTTCGCTGAATAAAGGTTTTGTTTTAATTGAAATATTTATGATGATGAATATTTTTCTAAATATTTATATTAAAATTGTAAATTAAAGTAAATAATAAAATCAAAGAGAATATTAAAAATTAATCAAGATTTTACTTCTTTTTTTCTTATTTTAATGTTGATTTGATAAGAAAAAGTAAAAGATAAAATTTCTCTCTAATTATAATATCTTAAATATTTATTAATTTGTTTTATTTTCAGCAAACTTTTTAATTTAAATCATTTCCGTTTTTTTATTAACAAACTTATTTAACAAAAACAAAATCAACAAAATCTTTTCTTATTTTCAATTTCATTCATTTTCTTTTCAAATTAAATATTCTCAGTTTGTTTCAAAAAGTAAATTGTCTTTCAATAGAATTCTTTCTTGTCTCAACTTTGATTCGGAAAAACATAAATTTCAAATTGTTTTTTCTTTTGAAAACAAAATATTCCCTTATTTTATTTTACTAAATCATAGTCAAAACTACAATAAAAAGATTTTTGTGATTAAAATTCTTTTGAGACGAATTTCTTTTTATTTCCCTAATACAAAACTATAAATGATTTGTTGTGTATTAATAAAATTCTTTTCAAAATTCAAATTTGATAAAAATATAATCAAAATTTCATTCAAAATAATGCTTTTTTTCTTCAATAAAAAACAACTTTTATTCTTCTTCTTTTTTTTCTTTTCATTAAAATCTTTTGTTTGTATCATTTTCTAGAACCAAAAGTCGACAAATGGAAACAAACTGCCATCACTGTGGCTGGTGGAAATGAAAAAGGAAAACAATTAAATCAACTCAGTTATCCTTTGGGAATCTTTATTGATAAGCAGAAAAATATTTTCGTTACCGATTCTTGGAATGAACGTATTGTTGAATGGAAATATAATGCAAAAGAAGGACAAGTCATTGCAGGTGGAAATGGGCAAGGAAATCGAACAGATCAATTAAATAATCCAACAGATATGATTGTTGATCAACAAAATCATTCAATCATCATTGCTGATTATGGGAACAGACGAGTGATCCAATGGTTGAATCAAAATCCACAAATTCTCATTGACAATTTTGACTGTGGGGGCTTGGCAATGGATAAACATGGATTTCTTTATGTTAACGATTGGAAGAACAATAAAATTAGACGATGGAAAATGGGTGAATACAACAATGAAGGAATTGTAGTGGCAGGTGGACATGGACAAGGAAATAGACTCAATCAACTCGATCATTCCAATTTTATCTTTGTTGATGAAGATCAATCTGTTTATATATCAGATAGAGAGAATCATCGTGTGATGAAATGGAGAAAAGGTGCAAAAAAGGGAATAATTGTGGCTGGAGGAAATAGTTTTTGAGGAAATCTGAATCAATTGTCCGACCCTCAAGGAATATTTGCTGATGATTTGGGTCAAGTGTATGTGGCAGATAGTGGGAATCATCGAGTAATACGTTGGTGTGAAGGAAAAGAAGAAGGTGAAGTTGTTGTTGGTGGAAATGGTCAAGGAGATCAATCAAATCAATTGAATCTTCCCATGGATTTATGTTTTGACGATGAAGAAAATCTTTATGTTGTTGATAATTGTAATAATCGAATTCAAAAATTTGAAATAGTTGTGTGAATCAAATTTTGATTTTAAAGAAAAGAAAAGAAAAGAACTTTTTTGTTGAATAAAAATCGAAAAATAAAATAAAAGAAAAAGTAAATTTTCATTGTTAAGAATCAATAAAAAATGGGATAGATTTTGATAAGAAAGCAAGGAACAAAAATCTGTTTTTAGTTTTTGCTCTTTAAAGTTGAATTTTGTTCGATCGTTTGCATGAAAAAGTTGCAATAAATAATTGCTAAATTCTTTATGTTTTGTTAACTTTTGTCGAATTTTAGAGAAGATTAAAAACAAAAATTTATAATTTGAATTGAATTAAAATAAAATTATTCAAAAAGAAGATTTTGTGTTTTATAAAATCTTGATAATAAAAATTGATTTGAAGTGAGTTTAGTTGAAGAGTGTACTCATCGCCTGTGTAAAATGTATTAATACATATTAAAACTATCCGATGATACACTTACCTATGTAATTTTGTATTAGTAGAACATAAGATATAAATTCTACTGGTCATACAGATATATATATATATCTAACGGATTATTGCAGTTGGGGAAAAAAGCAGATAATGACCCATTTTGTCAATATAAATTTTTTTTCCATAACAATAAGGAAATGAAATTTATCTATATTGGCGAGAGAAATTCCAATATGCTTTATTTATTTTTTGTGAGAAAGGAAGCAGATATGGCACTTTCTAAAAAAGATAGCACCTACGCAAAAAAAATCCACTTGCATTTTTAATTTTGTCGAAAAATACTTTGTCTTAATTCTCAATAGATGGTCGAATGATATAGCATATAACAAGTTAAAATGATCTGATTATATATGATCTATTCATTAAATTTGAATCAATTACAAAAACCTAGTGGACAAATTAATTAAATGCACTAGATCGTATGATATCTTGATCAATGAATTTCAAACTAAATACTATTTTCAAACTTATATTTATCAAGATTAGGAAATGTCTCTTTTTATGCACAATCAAAACAATGTCATTCAACAGAAACATAATTTGTTTTTGATAAAACACATAGTATAGCATATGATCTAGTAAACAGAGTTTGAATTCTATTTCACATGATAATATATAAATAAAGATGAATACGATGTTGTAATCATAAAAATGATATGATAAAGACACATATCAAGAAAATCGAAAAATTCCAGTCTATCATCAATCATGTATATTTACAAAATGATCTATTGATTATTAAGGCTAAATTTCATATTTTATACCTTTTTAATAATTCTTTGTTCAAAGTGAATTGCAATAAAAATATTCAATTTATTGTTGTATCATATCGCTATGAAATGATATTGAATCTGTTTTAGAGAGACAACGTTGTACACTAGTACTATAAACTAATTTTGCACTGCTGTAATATTAAAAATATTATCATATTACCAACAAAAGCACATGATAGTTTTACACTTAGTTTTACAATCTTCTTCCTACTTGAAAATAAGTAATCTATAGAATATTTTCTCAATGAATCTTTTCAAACGATAAAACATCGATTATTATTGAGTTCAATAGTTTCAGAGAAGATCTATATTCGATATCCATGCAGTAAAGTTTTTTGTTTATTACAACTTCATCTTATAAATATTATAAAATCTCTTTTTTGAAATGTTGAATATGTGCAAAAAGATTTATTTTCTATTTATAAGAAAAAATAACTTCATTTATTGAACACTGGAAATGAAGAATTATTTGAAAAATATACTCTCGTTATTTTTACCTTACTATCTATCATATAATATTAACATAGATGAAATTACTACTAGACAAAAAGCAAATATTCACTTTAACTATATGACGCTTGGAGTTTCAACGAGTCTTAAACGACTCTCGGCGAAAATGTAATTGTGGCGTTTATGTTTCTTTGAAGAAAATTTAGAATAATGATTCATATAGCATACATGATATCGAAAAACAAAATTATTCTTAAATACATTTCGTAGACGAAATACTGAATAGAAGTGTCACTTTATCTTTACTTTATTAATAAAGATAAAGATTTTTGTTACCTTATTCTTCACCATAAAGAAAAATAAAGATAAAATAACAACCCTATATATAATAGAATTTTTTTGATTATTCTTATATATATATCTTTCAAGCAAAAATAAAAAAAGATGATCAATCGTCGTTTATGTTTTGCTGTCTTAGCTATAACATTATTTGTTTCGGTTTTACATGCTGAACGTGCTCGTAATAATAATCATCAACATGATGAAGAAGATATCGCCTTTGCAAGTAACAATGCAGGTAGGGTTTCACCAACTGGAAAAGGCTCAGTGTTTGGTCGTAAGTTTGGCAAAAACAAAAGTGGTAGTTCTGTAATTAGTAAATATTATTGGTTCTTTTCACAATACTTCTTTTTTTAATATTCTTTGTTTTAAATAGAAACTGCTGGCTCACATCGAACTAATGTTAGTCATGCAACAATTAAATCATCGAAAGGTTAGTTATAACTTTGGTATTAATCTGATAGTTATTATTGATTGATTGATAAATAAAGATGCCTGTGGTCTTACCAATCCATGTAAACATGGTGGTACATGTAAAACATTGTCAAGTGGTAGGTTTTATTGCTTCTGTTCACAAAATTATTACGGAAGAACTTGTGATAATAGTAAGAAAATAGATTGTTTATATTTTATATTTGTATAGTATCTATCTTTCAGAGCATATATCAGCCGGTTCAGCTAAGAAAAATCGTGCGCGGATAGATCATTGTGCTAAATCACCTTGTCGTAATCAAGGTGAATGTGTTGGATTACGTACAACATATTATTGTAGATGTAAACTACCTTACCATGGAAGAAAGTGCGATAAAAGTAAAAATTCTATTTTTTATTAAAGAAAACTATTTTTGTTATATTCGTCATCTTCACAAAACTGCTTCTTTTTTAATAATCTTTGTTTTAAGTAAAAACTACTGGCTCACATCGAACTAGTGTTAGTCGAGCAACAATTAAATCATCTAAAGGTTAGCTATGAATTTGATATTAATCTTATAGTTATTATTGATTGATAGATAAAGATGTATGGCGTATATTTTTCTCAGAATAAGAGAAAGAATGTAGCTTTTTCGTGTTGTTTATTTATATTTTAATAGAATTTTCTACGTTTTAAAGATGTTTTAACTCGGTCATCATCAGTATGATAACAAGAAATAGAAATAAAAATAAAAATAACTAGCACCTGATACCTGTTGTAATTTATAATAGAATAATAATGTAACATAACATCAACATGAATATGTAAAATACTCAAGTTTGATTTTTATTTTTATTTCTTGTTATTGTACTGATAATGACCGAGTTAAAACATCTTTGAAACGTCGAAAATTCTTTTAAAATTTCTATTAAAATATAAAATGTAAAGAAACAACACGAAAAAGCTGCATTCTCTCTCTCACTCTGAGAAAAATATACATTTTACTTTCAAGTTAATCGTATAAATGATCAATGCAGTGGTGCTAATCCATGCAAAAATGGTGGTACATGTAAAACATCGTCAAGTGGTAGATTTTATTGCTCCTGTCCACAAGATTATTATGGAAAAACTTGTGATAATAGTAAGAAAATCAATTGTTTATATTTCATAATTGTATATTATCTATCTTCTAGAATTTATATCAACTGGCTCAGCTAATAATGATCATGCACGGATAGATCATTGTGCCAAATCATCTTGTCATAATGGAGGCAAATGTGTCGGATTACGTACAACATATTATTGTAGATGTAGATCACCTTACTATGGAATGAATTGCGATAAAGGTAAAAATTCTATTTTGCTATCGAAGAAAATTATTTTTTGTTTTTATTTATCTTAGAGCTTGGGAAAAGTGAAGCAATCATTGAATAATCAATGGCATCTGAACAAGATTTGCATTAAAAACTTCAGGCCACGCGGCGTGTTTACTTTCCTGATTTTCCTGTTTTTAACTAAAAATCTTGATTTTGTCCTAATATTTTACGAATTATCCTCATAGGAGTGAGTTTACCTAATTTTAATCTTTCCCGTTATTTTACTCCGTCTATTTCGAATTCTTACAGAAATATTTTTACGTGTTTTTATCAGAACGAAAGATAAAATTCAAAATACATTTATTTTAACCATTCATTTTTTTCTTAATCGGTTCAAATTATCATTATTTTCAATTAATTTAGTTTTCGAAACAACTAATTTACTAGTAGCTGCTGGCTGTCACTAGTATTTCGGCTGTACTGATATCATCAAATTTTTTATTTTACATAGATGTAGCAAGTCTTGTAGTTTCTACTACGAACACTTACTATCTTCATATGTTAATGATCTTTGATCATTTTGAATACTAACGAACTGAATTCTTGTTTCAGTAGCACTTATTAATAATGTTTTAGTATGTATACTGATGCCATCATTCGTGCTATTTATGGAAGATGACGATGAATGTGATGATGCAACAAGTGGAGTAGAACCGAAAACATCTTTCATATATTGAATATATTTTGATCGGGGTGTGTGGCTGAGGGCGTGGATGAGAGTAATAGCGTGAATGGGTGAGCGAGGGTGTGAATGTGATGTCAGTATGAGTGGTTGAGCGTGCTGATAAAAGACCGTCGTACCCACACCCGTTTTCTGATCCGTCGAATATGTGCTATCAAATTTTCCCGCCCAACATCGAGTACTCCGGTCAGTAATTAATAAGCGTATGAAATGAAAAGGCGATAGTTTCAAAAAAAGATATATTATAAAGAAAAAACCTCAACATCAGTTTATTATAACCATCTTTCTATTTGCACTTCGCGATATATTGCTGTTTTGTAAAATAATAATTGAATTATCATAATAGATCATCTAACTAATATGAGAATTTCATTTACAAGAAAAGTAATTCTAATAATGAATAAAAAGTATACAGAATATGCTAAAATATTTTATTTTATACATATTACAGTATATGGTTAAATTGTAAAATTATTGTACTGTTCGAGTCTTGTAATCACACAAAAAAATTGTACTTTTGCGTCGGATATAAAGCTGATCGGTTGTTTCGTAAAATTTGATATGGCACTCTTTTCTATATACCATGTGTACAGTCAACACTTAAATCCTGTCACATGAGATTAAAAAGGACTTTAGTATGTAACAATGCGTTTAAAATTGGTCGAGTTAGTTTTGAATACGGATCAGTTGATAGGATATAAAAGTGACCAAAGACGGTGAGACACTTGTGCTAATATTTGTTACAATATATTATGAAATAACAACTAGAAACACAGCTGTTACGCGAGATTATTATGTGTATAGCTATCCCACATCGGAAGCCATAATAGATGCATCCTACATTTTGATTGATTTCATATTTAAGGGGCTATCAAGACTCGTATATAAAGTACCTCGAATTTGCATCCCATGAGTTGATAAATTCATAGAAAAGGTTCCTCATTATATATATTTTATAATTGGCTGAACATTTCTCTCGAAGGCACAGTTGTTGGCGCAGATCTATGTTTATTCTTTACTTATATCCAAATCTACATTATGACATTCTTTCATTGAAAAAGCATCACAAAAATTGTTTGGAATTTGATTTGAAATTAGAAACAAATCAGCTCCTAGTTTTAGTCCAACCATCTTCGATATTACATCAGTTTTATCAGTGACATTTTGTCACAATTAGTAATTGTTATCACAACAAAATTCTTTACCAACTTTTTCTACCACCGAGCAATGTCTTTGTTATCAATGAGTCATAAAGTTTATATTTATAAAAGCAGATAAGGAGATATTCATTTCTTCTGTAAATTTATATTCAAAGACATGGCAGTGGCAAGTAAAAAAACACAATGCTTTAAATGCAACAAAGAAAAAATAACATATTCTTGCGAAGGGTGTTCAAAACGATTTTGTTTTATGGATTTAGCAGAACATAAACAAATATTAAATGATGAATTAAATCATATTATTAATGATTATGATGAATTTAAACAAACAATTAATGAACGAAAAAAAAATCCACAAAATCATTCATTAATAAAACAAATTAATCAATGGGAAACAATTTCAATTGAAATAATTCAACAAAAAGCACAAGAATGTAGAAAAATTGTTATTAACTCTTTACAAACATTTATGGATGATATTGAAATGAAATTTACTGATTTAAGTGAACAAGTAAAACAAATTCATAAAGAAAATGAATTTAATGAAATCGATTTAAATTGTTTATCAAATCAACTAAGAAAAATTAGAGAAGAATTAAATGATCCAACAAATATTTCTATTAAACAAAGCTCACAATTATTTATTAATGAAATTTCAATTATTTCATCAAGAAGTGAGTTTTTTTAGAAATTATATCTAAAAGAATAATTTTCATTTTTTATGATATTATGTTGAAAAACTATAAAAACAAAGAAAAGTAATGATGAAAATAAAAGAATGATAAGATATGAAATAATATTACACGAAAAAAACTTTCTTCAAAGATTAAAAAAATGTTTGATTGATAAAAACAAAATTAAATTATTTTGAAAATTTTCTTTGACAAAAAATAAATCAACAAAATCTTTTCTCTTTTTCTTTTCTTTTCAAAACAATTTATTTTTACTTTCCAAATACAAAACTTCAAATGATTTGTTTTTTTAATAAAATCCTTTTCAAAATTCAATAAAAAATATTGAATACGATTTGTCTTTTCATTACACATTTTCATCAACATTTTATTTAAAATTCAACTAACAAAAAACCAAACTCAAAGTTTCATTGAAAACTAATCTTTTGTTTTTTACTTCGATAAAAAACAAAATTTTCTTCTTCTTTTCATCAAAATGTTCTATTTTCATCCTTTTCTAGAACCAAAATTCAACAAATGGAAACAAAATGGCATCACTGTAGCTGGTGGAAATGAAAAAGGACAGAAATTAAATCAATTCAATGAGCCTGCAGGAATCTTTATTGATAAAAACAAAAATATTTTCATTGCTGATTCTTTTAATGACCGTATTGTCGAATGGAAACATAATGCAAAACAAGGACAAATCATTGCAGGTGGAAATGGAGAAGGAAATCGAATGAATCAACTGAATTATCCAACAGATGTGATTGTTGATCAAAAAAATCATTCGATCGTTATTGCTGATCGTGGGAACAGACGAGTGATTCAATGGTTGAATCAAAACCAACAAATTATCATTCCGAATATTGACTGTTCTCGTTTGGCAATGGATAAATATGGATTTCTTTATGTTTCTGACTGCAAAAAGAATGAAGTGAGACGATGGAAAATGGGTGAATACAAAAACGAAGGAATTATAGTGGCAGGTGGTAATGGAAAAGGAAATCGACTTAATCAACTGAATCATCCTACTTTCATCTTCGTTGATAAAGATCAATCTGTTTATGTATCAGATAGATACAATGATCGTGTGATGAAATGGAGAAAAGATGCAAAACAAGGAACAGTTGTGGCTGGAGGAAATGGTCAAGGAAGAAATCTTAATCAATTGTCTTATCTTCAAGGAGTAATTGTTGATCACTGGGGTCAAATCTATGTGGCGGATTATGGGAATCATCGAGTAATGCGTTGGTGTGAAGGAAAAGAAGAAGGTGAAATCGTTGTTGGTGGAAATGGTCATGGAAATCAATCAAATCAATTGAATGGTCCCAGTGGTTTATCTTTTGATGATGAAGGAAATTTTTATATTGTTAATTATAGTAATCATCGAATTGCAAAATTTGAAATAATATTGTGAATGAAATTTTAACTTTAATGAAAATGAAAGAATTGTTTGAAGAAGAAAATAATGAAGAAAAATCATTTTGTTTTTTTTCTTCAAAATAGAACTTAATTTGATAATTTTGATTAAAAAATGTTGAATAAATGAATGTTAAATTCTTCATCTTTTGTTGATTTTTGTCGAATTTTACAGAAGAAAAGAAAAGAAAATATTTTGTAATTTGAACTGAATTCAAGTAAAAATTATTCGCAAAGAATATTAAATGTTTGATATAGTCTGAGAATTCTTCAAAATTGAAGACGATAAAAATATTTTATGAAAACGTGATGATAAAAATTGAATTGAAAAATGGTTTATTGAAATTAACTAACTATAAAACGACCGGTGGTAATTCCAAATTTTTAGAAATCCAAAAATCTATTGTAACATGTCATAACACAAACTTGATTTTTCTAATGTATTCACATTTCTTTGAGAGTGGAACCGTAAGAAATAGAATGTTTCTCTAATCGACTGTATTATTCATCAAACTTGCATTTTAGTCGTATTTGCACATAATTATTGTACCGACAGTTACAAAATTTTGATAAATTGATAATTCTAACTGTTAAATATTGTGATTCGAGTAGCAAAAAGAAAATATATTCATGATTAACGATCACAGAAATTTGTTAATTAAGTTTATTTTTCAAAAAGAAACATTCCATCGAAAAATAAAAAATAAATTTTTTAATTTATCATAATATGTTCTTTATTAATCCTTTTGTGAAAACATGGAATATGGTTTAAATACGTCGTTTTTCTAATTTACCAGCAGAATCATTTAAGTCATTATGCTGTTCTTTTATAGATTTGATCTCGTCATCCGATGCTATGTGAACAGATGAATCATCATTTGATATTTGATTTCTGAAAGATAATATAAACATAAACATGATGAAATAATAATTTATATAACAAACTTTTGTTGTTGATCAAATGCATAAGTAAATTTTAATGTTTTAAATTGATCTTGAGTCCATTGTTCACTACTAATCTGTTTTTTATATGATTTTGGATATGAACGTGCATAAAATCCAATCAAAGGTGCAATAATGAAAGCCATCGGAAGAGCAACAGAAAAACTAAGTTCTGATGCAATTTCAAATGCAAATAAAAAATCTACAAGTGTACCAAAACTAAAAAGTCCAATTGTAATCATTGGATAAAATGCTATCAACGATGCTAGGGTAACTTTTATTGCTGAAAATTGTCTATCACCAGTTATATGACCAGTTACACCATCAAATAAACATGTATAAATTAATTGAGAATCATATTTATAATTAATTATATATATTGGATAATATAAAAGACGTTCTTGTTTTGAATTCATTATTAAATGAAATGAATCAATTCGAGGTTCTTCAAATTTAGGATAAATCTGATTGATAGATAAATAAAAATAGAAATGATTAGGATCATTCTTAACTAACTACTTTTCTCTTCAATTTTGAAATACGGCGAAAGAATTATCAATAAGTAACGCTTGTATGAAGATTCGCTCACGAGGGCACATATTTAGGTGATACCTCTCGTTCGGATTCATATTTTACTTATAGTGTAGATAAGAATCCTAAACGGATTTTTCCCCAAACTCTGTTATTGTTGAAATATTGTATTTTCAAAAGGTAGAGATATCTCATTTCTGTGGTCCCCCTCAAAGATATCAAAAAAACTCATCTGCGAATTTGGACTTGAAACTTTGTATAAACGAAGGTCTCAATAATAGATATTTATTATGAAAATTTCACCACTGTTGAATGCGTCTAGTTGCAAACAAGAATATCAAGGCTATCCCCTTAGCTGATATTATAGGATGTGTAGCCATATCTCCAGATAGAAACAAGCAAAAACGGTAAACTTTTCACAATAAAGAACTATTATTGAGAACTTCGTTTATACAAAGTTTCTAGACCAAATTCGAAAATGAGTTTTTTCGATATCCCTGAATGAGACCACAGGAATGCGATATCTCTATATCTTAAAAATACAACATTCCAACAATAACAGAGTTTGGGGGAAAATCCTTTTGGAATTCTTATCTACACTATGAGCTATACCTATAAACAAAATATGAGCTCAAACGTGAGGTATCACTTAAATATGTTCCCTCGTCAGCTCTTTCTTGTAGAAATGGTATTTCTAATAGAGTTCAAGACTTTCTTTAAGAGATTGCTCGTTGTCTACAAAAAAAATCCTAAAAAACTAACGTCAGATTCGTGTTCCTCGACCTCGGTTACCCTTATAGAAAAATTCCTTTTATATCTTTACCGAATTTTTAGATCAATCAATGAAGTGCGGACACAAGCAAATAATTTATTCTTGCAAGACTCTTGTCTACGAGAAAGAAAATAAAAATATTTTATTCAAAATGCAACTCTGAGTGGATTTATTGATAGATGCTTTGATATAATCAAATTTTCTTATTCTGATATCTATTATCTCTATATGATACTTATTGATATGTTATATTATGGAATTAATACCTTTTTTGCTTCTTCAAGACACATATTTTCTAGTAAAGGTTTCATAATAAGAATCCATGCATTTTTGAATGCTGTATCTTGATCAATAGTACGTTTTTCAATAATATAATCTTGGTCAGTTAAATCAATAGGTTCAACATCGTCAAAAGATACATCTAATTTTTGTATATGATATTTATCTAAATTGTTAGCTGCATAAATATTAATATTATTTAAAGAAATATTATTCATTTGTAAAGGAAATGTATGCCATTCTTTTTGTGAATAATAATTTTCATCATGCTAGTATAAAAAACAAAATTAAATAATTTTAATAGATATATTAAACGTATTTTTTTACTCGAAAAGGAAAGTTTGCTTTTGTACTAAGAGTACATTGAATATCGCCTTGAAAATTAATATTCCAAAATGGTATAAAACATCGAGTAACTCGAATTGAACCATCTCTTGTTGAATTTACCCATTGATTAGGCGCCAACCTCTCTTTGACAAAAAGAAAATATTTAATTAATATTTTAAAACTTCGAATTTACCATAAAGATTTTAACCATTTATCAAAATGTAAACGAACTTCATATTCACTAAAATTATCTCGTATTCCTTGAATTTTTTCATACTGTTTACTTGAAAACAACCGGGAAAAATTAATTAATGAGCAATACTGAGTTTTCGATAAAAGATTAGCTGATATTTTCATTTATATGAGAGTTTTAGTTTTACTGAATAATAAAATAATTTCATTTTTCTTTTATGTTTGACTCCATTTTATTTCAGAGTTAAAAGAAACAAGAGACATCTGTCGACTCTAACTGTAAAATTTTAAAAAGAATATTTCAGGCATTTTAGATCTACTTTATCAATTACATCTCATTCATTTATGAGCATACCAGTGCATCGCGTGGAATGGGATTAAAAATCTTACGAATAATGTAGTGAAGAAAAGAAAGTCATCGAACAAATAAATATAAGTATTTTTTTCAAGTCAATTTATTTTACATAAAAAAAACTTTTTTGATCTTGTAATTTTTATTTAAATATCAAGTGTATGAAACCAATCATAACAAAAATTTGTATAGTCTTTTGTATCAAAATGTCCATTAAAAAAATTACATGAAATATTTAATTCAAGTAACATCAGTTGATTATTTTCATTTGTCCATGCAACATCCCATCCAATAATAGGTATATCAGGACATAAGATTTCATGTGCATGAGAAACACATTGAATCATTTCATTAACATTCGGCCATTTAATACCTTCAAGTTGTTGATAAGAATCAGGATGAATAGAATAATTTTGTCCTTGCCACATACTTGTTGTATCAAATGATTTTAAACCACTTTGATACCAATGACGATTCGTTGTTCCACTTGATAAACAATGTGAAGAATTAAAATCAATATTATAAAAAATTGCATTATGATCAGTTTTTTGTTGAAAACGACCAGCACGAAAAACCATTGTTTTTACTTTAATTAATGATGATGAAGAATCACGTGAAGTTATTATACGAACAGTTGAAAGTGGTGCATTAGATGTGACAAGATTTTGAATAAAATCACTATTTGAAAATACTTTTTGAATAATCCAGTCACCATCATTTCTAATAAAAAACAAGAAATTATGGTTAGAAAACAAAAAAAAATAATTTTAACTTACATAGCAAAATTATCATAAACATTTATTCCCATTCCACCTTCAATTGATTTATGTTTAATCATAATCCGAGGTATTTCTAATATAGGTGTTACTGGTATATTTAATTTTTTTCCTTCAATTAAAAATCGACCTTTATCTTCCATCGAATATTGTTGTTTAGTTTGTTCCCACTTTTTATATGAATGATAAGCAACAATTGTACAATTCATACGCCATGTTGCAAACCAATAATTTGGTTTTAATAATTGTTCATAAAAATATTGATTTATAGTTTGAGAATTTTTTGTATCATATATTGATAAATAAATTGAACCAATCAATGCCCATAATGGATAAATAAATATTAAAAAAAATAAACAAATAAATTTATTGAAACAAAATATTGAAAGTGGAATAATAGTAAATGGTACAATAACATTACGTAAATTAGCACGTAAATCTTCACCATAAGATTTTGCTCGATAATGTCGAAAAGAAAAAAGACGAATTGTTAAAACAAGTGAATATATATGGATTAATACACGCCGATCAATTCCGCTTGTTCGATATGCATCAATACCTTTTCCAGAGTATAAGTAATAAAAAAATATACGATAATAAAGAGAAAGCGTTTCGCCTATCCACATATTTCGTTTGCTTAATGTTTTATTATATCGATACGTAGTCATCGTTGCTATCGTAAGAACGAAAAAAAGAAAAGAAAACATCCAATAGTATACATATATATATAGGTTTTTTTTAATAATACGTCATACATAAACGTAACGATTAGAGTCCAAATGTGGAGGCGAAATACGATTGTACCTCCACATGCACCAAACACCTAGATAGTGATTTTGCATATGTCATTCATATAACGCGTGTATTCTTGACTCAAGAGCACTGGTTCTGATTGTTTGAAATTATCTATTGACTGGTATTGCGTCTTGTTTTTCTCATATATCGATTTCAAAGATTATCATCGTGATTGTACTTGTTATATCGAAATATTGCGTTCTTATTTTAACCACAAAGATTTTTTTTTAATTTTCTCTACTTAATTATAAAAATCTATTGTTATTCGTTATCGAAAAGTAGGGTAATGATTATGCACTCGATAATTTTTCTTTTTTGTTCGAAATAATTGAAGCATCAACGAATATTAAATTTAAAAGAACAATATATATATTCGAAATTAGTCGAACATCAAATTAACTATTTGTAAGTATGAGAAATTCGATAAAATAATCAAAAACAAATTGAATTTATAAATAATAACTGAAGCGAAGAGAAGTAAACAATAGACAATATAGCTTTATTTTTATTAAAATCATTGATTCGATTTAATAGTATAAAGAATCTTTTTTTTTCGTTAAAGTAAATCATTATCTTTGCAATATCAAATGATCGAATTAATTATATATATATTAATAACTTTTGACATATATATATATCAGTATGTACAAGGAAAAAACCTTCGAACCCGATGAGTTTAGAAGATATGGATATACTTTTACTGGTGGAAAAAACAAGCGCAATTTCAATGAATAATAATAATATTATTTTTGTATATTTATAGATCTTTTTATTGTTCTTAAAAATATATAAATTAATAAGCAAAGTCTGTTTTAATTTTAACAGTAACGTTCATAATCGATACAAATTACTATCTTAATATTGATAGATTACCTGTTAATATTAATTTTCCCACTGTCTATCTATCTATATATATACGTCTGTAATTTGGTAGGTCTTATCAATGATGAAAATAAGAAGATACGAGCTGTTTTCCTTTTATTCTACTTGTCATCTTTATAATTAAATTCGATTTGGTATAAAAGCATATCGTATATTTTTTTCTTCTGACGTCAGAATTGCTTATCGTATCGTGTCATTAAGAAACAAAAATTCTTCTTCTCTGTTATCATAATTCTTTTTTTGTATCTACTGTATATGTATTCGAATAATCTTTTTTTTTCTCTCTTCTATAAAGTAATAATTCAAGCAAAGAAAATAAGATATAATTATAGTCACGAAATATTTCTTTGTATTATATATCGACTTATAAATGGCTGAACTTTTTCTCCTCTAATCTTTTCTTTGATTATCATTTTTATTATTTTGAGAATTACATTTGTTTTTCTAGTAATCCTTTTTAAATATTATTCTTCAAAAATTTCTTTTTAAAATAAAAGATTTATTTGAAAACATGAACAATACCGGAAAGTGTGATAATAAAGCATAAAAATTATAAATCATAGTTTTCTTCTCTAATTACATTCCACAAATATTATCATATGTTGAGAAAGTGTAAGCCAACCAGCTGTTTGTTTCTACTTGAAAAAATAAGTCAACTTCTGCTTAATTTCTTTCTTCCTCCTACTACGTCTTTAGATTTCTTTTTATATTTAACTCTATATTCATTCATGAACGACAAATACATGTATTTATATTCATTTATTTGAAAATTGCCTATACTAATGAGTAGAGACTGTTGATAGAATAGAATATGACGAAATACAGATGAAACTAATAGAGAACAATGATAGAGAACAGAAGTAATGAAGAATCCATGCAGAAAATAGATGAATTTACAGTTATTTTATATAGCTTTGAACTAAATATATTGTCTTATTAGACATTTTTTTAGGTGTTTGTATTTAACCTTCAGATTTTTATTTACAAAGTAAACATTATGAATTTAATTTTTCTTAGGCTCAGTTTTTAAGGATATGTCAATATTAAAAGCTGTAATAAATGGTAGGTAGAAAATGCAAAAGTTTCACCTGGCAACTATATGTGTTTTTTTATTATTAGAAGATTTCTTTTTATCATAAAAAACAAAAATTTACGTCGAGTAATTATTTTAGATATCATTTACTTCGTTTTTTGTTTTAATTAAATACAGAAAATATGATTCCATTGGTTTTAACTTTAATTATAATTACTGTATTTCTTTTATCATCATTATTTATTTATGTCTTAATTTATTCTCGAGAAAATTTCAAATCATCATCATCACCATTTGCTTATGGAAAACGAAGAATAAAATATGTAATTCAACCATCAATGAATATTATAACAAGAAGATTATCTACATATCGTTCAAGCTTTTCAATTCATCATGATTCAAATCTTACTAAACCAAATCAAACACGTTCATATAGTTGCGCAAATAATTTATCTGTTGTAAAATATCCTCATAGAAGACGAAGTTCAATTATTGATTCAAAACAAATTGCACAAATTCAATTTGAAGTTCCATTAACAGCTGAAAAATATCGACGTCGATCTGTAGCAATTTGTAATAATATCATCGAAACAAAACAAAGTACAATTGATTCAATAATAAAAACCATTCAATCATCAAATCAAATTTTACCATGTCTTGTATCATTTTCAATCATTTATTTAGAATCATCACAAATTAAAATACAATTTCATTCTTTAACATCGTTATTATCAACAATAAAACAATTAACAATTAAGCTGAAATTAAATCCTGATGGTAAAGCAAAAGAATTATCCGTAAAAAATATTCTTCCAGATCAAAATATATTTGCTGAAGAAAATACGGAATATTTTATACAATTTTCACATATTCCATTAGCAAAACTTGCTGAAAAAACCTTAGTAATAAAATTTTATGGAAAAAATCAAGAAAAAAAAACAATTCAACTTGGTCAAATTGGTAAAATTTATTTCAATCAAATAGAAAATATTGAAAATAAAAATCAAATGGATTTTATCCATGAAATTGAAAATATAAAAATGGTAACACAAAACAAGAACATTTTTGAAATTTAACTTTTTTCTATTTCTAGTCATCAATAGAAATTCTTGTTTCAATTGAAAAATTAAATGATCATAATTTAATTATTGATTTACAACGTATCAAAGGATTAAAACATAATCAAAAAAATCCAAGTTAGTTATTTAATCTATTGTTTTTATTTTATAATAATAAAGAAATATTTTAGATGCAACATGTTTTTTTCGAATAATTCTTCTGGATCGTCATCGACCATTAACAACACATGAAACCAAATTTTATCGATTAAATTCTTCAACATTTTCTCTTCAAGAATCATGTCATTTTAATATATTATCATTTAATTCAAATCATCTCGATCGTCTGATAATTAGAATTGATTTCTATTCGAATATCAATGATACTAATGAACATCATTATATAGGTCGAATTAAACTAGGTTCACCTTATATTTGTTCAGGTAGTGGAACAATACATTGGCAACAATTTAAACAGCGTCATTCATTTTCAATGTGGCATACTTTAATCAAGCAATAGAAAAACCAAACGAACTACTATTATTGTTGTGAAAATTTATCTGTAGATGATTTGTTGTTTTCTTTCGTACCGTGTCTATATATTTGAAAAAAAGGACAATAAAACGTGAAAGAACCCCGGTTTAAATAATTTAATATAGAATTTTCATTTTCTATTAAAAAGAAAGGTACGTTAAATAACATATGTAGATATCAGCGGTAAAAGTACGTTCTGTATATGACTTTCTGAAGACCACAGATGATTTTAATGGGAAAAAAATTATTAGTACAATAACTGGTTTTATGGAAATTAATTTTATTTATTCATAGAAGAAAATAGTGTATTCAGTCTATTGGATAGTCAATAGAAGTTTTTCTATTTACATTAGAATACGAAAGAAAAATATATATAGAAGGAAAGTCTACTGATAACTAGACAACAAACGCGAGTCGAAATGAGAATTCATAAAAATGAAAATAGATGTTAAGATATTCTAATGATCATAATGCTTGGATAGATGCGGTTTTTACCGAGTTACTTCTGTAGCAGAACTAATAATCATATGTATGCTTGTTTAAATATATATTTTTAATGATAGTGAAGAACTGTTGATTAAGAGTGTTAATGAGATTGACCAAATTTTTGTCATAGGGGTGGAAACTTAAGCACTAATTTTTTTATATTTTTCTTAAAAAAAGAAGTTGACATTTTTTTTTCTAATATCTATTTATAGTCGATAATTATAAGTTATAAAATGGACGGTTAGATAAATTTTACAAAAAATGCCTAATATAGCCACCATATGGCATATAACCATAAAATTTCAATAACAAATAAAGATTGAAAAATAGATGTTAATGTTTTCCATCCTACGCTTTAACCATTATTTTCTAATTTTTCATGCGTGCGTCGAGAAAAAAAGAAAACTCGCCTAGGATCACATGAATGCATTCCTTTGCACCGTATTAAATATATATTATTCTATTTTACTCTGAGTACTAAAGAAAATGAATTCATTTGTCTATGTATTGCACTTAAATCAGGCGAACAGATGATCATAACAATGCAAAAGTCATGTTGGCATTTTGAATGCCTTGAAATTTATTTATTTATAAGTAGAAAGAGAAAACTGTTTTACTTGATGAACGAGTCAATAGAATTCCTCAAAGTCAAGGGAACGCTAATATTATATTCAAATTCTGTTCTCAGTCGTTATTGTCTTATACACGAAATCAAAACTCAAAAGCTCGGAATCAGTTGGAGTACATCCCTCGTAAGATAGAACAAAAAATTCGAAATCTAATTTGTGCGCAATATGATTCTCTATCTTCTATACTATGTTTTGGATGTCAAGAAAAAATTTAAAATGCAAGATAATAAAACTCAACACATAGATCGACTTTATGACAAAACTTTTCAATGTAATTATTCTCTCACTATTCGTATTTTGCTTTAATTCAATAAATAAACTATAAGTCATCGGTAAATACAGGCATCTTCAATACTCTTTCATTCATAATTTTCACTGGTTTTTATCCGCTTCATATATGTTGTTTATTGATAATTATTAAACGAAAATGTATCTTAACCTTTATGCATATCGTCATATAACCACAATATTAACTAATATACAAGAGAAAAAGAATACAGAACGTAAAAAAAAAACAAATTTACCTGCAAGCTAATCTTTAAATCAAGCAAGAGGTGACATACAAAAGCATCATAAAACAAAAAATAGTTTATTTTTGTTTTCTTCGTATCATGTCTTCTTATGAAACTTTACCAACAGGTTTTGTTTATGTACATGATATTATACCGGATATTCAAGTAAGCTTACGTTATGGTACTGAAGAAAATTTTCTAGGATGTATTGTTAATGGTTATTATTCAAATGTATCAATTATGACAGAAGCCGCTGCACATGCATTAAGACGAGTGCAAGAATTAGCGAAAGAAAATGGTTATGAATTAGTTATTTATGATAGTTATCGTCCACAAAAAAGTGTTAATCATTTTATTAAATGGAGTGAAGATCCAAATGATCCTCAATCGAAAAAAGATCATTATTATCCACGAATTAATAAAGAAAATGCATTTAATCTTGGATATATTGCGAAAAAATCTGGTCATACACGAGGAAGTACAATTGATTTAACTATAATTCCAATTGGTAAACGTGTATCAAATTCTGTAGTACCAATAAAAAGAATTCTTAATGATAATTCAACAATTTTATTTCTAGATGATGCAACCGTTGATATGGGTTCTTCATTTGATTTACTTGATGAAGCATCACATACAGAGAGTAAACTTGTTGATGATAATCATCAAAAAATGAGAATGATGTTTAAGAGCTTCATGGAACAAGCTGGTTTTGTTAATTATACTAAAGAATGGTGGCATTATACACTTAAAAATGAACCATTTCCTAATACATATTTTGATTTTGATGTTAAATCATCTTATTCTTCTTAGAGAAAAAACACATTTTTATGCAACTATAATATCACAATAATAATTAATTATTTTTTTATTTTTTGATTAAATTTAATTCTTATTATCTATATCATTGAGAAGTATTAAAAGCTATCTGCCGATGAAATCTTACAAAAAAATATTTTTGTTATAGAAAAGAAATGTTTTACTATACCCGTGCTACTTTAAATCAATAGGTTATGATCGAATTAATAATTATTCATTTTCTCTATTATATAAAACATGTTTTATTTCGAATTTTGTTTTCTTTCTTAAATATATTATAAAGATAGAGTTAATAGTATTGAAAAGCAATGTAATCTTTTGGATCATAACCATGACGAATAGCAATTGTTTCATCGTTTTCAATTATTCTTGCACCATACTGAGCAAGAAATTACTGGGCATCTTGATTAACTCGACGAACAACACCTACCATTCATTGATTAGGAAATTGAGTTCGAACATGTTGTAAAAGTTCAATCACTATCGAGTGTAACTGCATATTGAGCGAAATAAATTGTATTGAATTCTTTTTCATCTTTGATTATGATAAAAGCTATAGAGTCGTCAATTGATGTCTCATAAGATTTCATTGCATAACAATGCCATATTCGATTTATTTGATTATCATCATTATAAAGATTATTTTCAACTTTATCGAATGTATTTTCAAGCCATTCGTGAAGAGATTGTTCAAATGGTAAGTGAAGTTGTGTATTTTAGAATCAAATGATTTATAAGAATGTTCGTAAAATTTTTAACCGAAAATCAGTACGATCATTTGGTATAATTTCAATAACTGTGTATAAATAAATTCTATATCTCACTTGAAGGCATTTGTATATCGAAATGATTTACTTCCTTTTTTTCTCTCTATTTACTTATTTATTGTACATGAATAAACAGAAAGAAAGAAAATATCGATACATACACCTTTTTTTTGTTGTTAATATTAATAACGTTAAAAAGCGGATTATTTAGACATATTTAGTAAAAAATTATTGGGTGTTTTCGATTAAGTCAAATGAATTAGAACCAGATTTCTATATACTATATTAAATATATTGTATCAACTATTGATGGTTTTATCAGCATAAGAAAAAATGAAATAAAATATTTAAAGCTTCAAGATTGTTTTAAAATCCATAAACGAAAGGACTTAAGCCTGTCGAGGAAAACATTCTATTAGGTTTAAGCAAAATAAGACAGCTTATAAAAAGTTATTTTTGATTACAGTAAACGCAAGTTATATTAATCAAATTGGATAATATATAATATATTCTATCCAATCGAAATAAGATTAAAATAATTATCGATAAGTGTTAAAGTGCGATCCAGGAGTTCCAAAAGGGGGTGGCGGTTTATAAAAAAAGTGGAAAGTAGTATTATTTTTTACGAGAGAAACCTATAGTGTTCTACCTGTTTTCAGTATTTGTCGAAGCATCTGTTTTCGAGGGAGTAGCGTTGCCGAATAGCTAGATCCGCCACTGCTTTAGTGTTATGTATTGCTGGCAACTATGCTAATAATCTTCAATACATATATTATTTCTACGTGTATATCAAATTGATTAATTAAGTTATCGTTATTTTCGTATAAGCAGAGGGAAATTTAGTAATTATTACTGAAAATAACGTTGACTCGCATTTTTCCTGTATGTCCGAAAGATGTCACTAGGCCATGAAAACGACTTTTTTTTAATTAGAGCCAACTTTAATCAACATAATTTTCGATAATGAATTAACTTCTCATTATAATTTCCTTTAGTTATTAAAGAGAATTAAAACATAATTTTAATTCGTTAAATATACGTCATCGTAAACCAATGATATTCGATATGTCATCATCCACATTTGAAATGTCAAAGCTAAAGTTGGGAAGATATTTTATTATATTATAATTATGCAACGTCGTATAGTTTCACGCGTTGATCCGCGTTATAAACAATTACGTGCTCAAAATAATTCTAGTGTTAAAAAATCACGTGATAGAGCTCGTCGTGAACGTGAAGAAACAATTACTTCAATAAATCAACTCGAAGAAGATAATCAAAAATTAGTACAAAATTTACAAATAATCAGACAAGAATATGAACAATTACAAATTCTATTCAAACAACATACTGGTGTTGATATAGATCAAATGATAGGACCAGAGCCAAAATCAACGACACCAGAAATACCAATGCCATCAATTCAACCATCCGTAGAAAGTCTATCGAAACCGGTTTTAACTATCAATACTATTGAAGATAAATCTACATCAAATAATGAATTTGATGTAAATAATCTTGATGGATCTATCGTACTTATCAATGGTGTTCAATATAAAATTGTTGGTTTGGATAAAGCTTAAAACTTAGTTTTTTATTATTTAAAAGAATGTTGTTAATGAAAAGTATAGAAATAATTTTTCTATGGCTTCAATCGACTAACTGATCCATTGTTGATCCAGATAAATTATTTGGAGTAAATGTCAAAAGCGTTTGTTCATTAAAAAATATTCAATTTTTTTGAAAAAAAAATATCGTTTCTTTTTTTTACATATCAAATAAAACATCTGTTCAAAAAAAAAGAAAGTTCGACAATGTACAAACAAAAACAGATGTTGTCAATTACTTTTTTTCGTCTCTAATAAATCAATTTTTTTATTAATGAATAAATCTATAAGTTCAACATTGTTTTGTTTTCTTCTTCATTAGTATTAACTATAAACTATTGGACATTCATTTTCTTTACCATTGAAATTTCACACATTCACTATTGAATCGATTGAGCATATTTATTAGGTAGGCACCATCAAAAAAAAAGAGAGAGAGAATATGAGACTTGCTTTGTTGACATTTCTTTCTCTGCTTGTCGTCGTATAATTAAAAGTAGACAAATATCTCTCTCTCTCTGTCTCTTGTCATTTTTTTTCTATTCAAATAAAATCTAAAGAGCGAAAGAGATTGACGTCTAAAAAAAAGAGAAAATATATAAAAGCAAAGCGTCAATATTGGCCATATTCGGATGATGATGATGATGATTGTAAAGAATGCTTTCGATTATAATAAACCGAGAAAGAAAAAACATAACGACAAATTATTTGACTTCGTTTTCATTTTCTAAAAAAGAAATAATAATCAAAGTATATACGTTAAATACAAACTTATTCAAACAAAGTATTTTAAATGAAAATAGTTCATTGAATAATATATGATATATATGTCTAAGAAGATTTTATTAATATGTCTATGTGTATATATATACTCATTTGAAGGCTATCATACAATGAAATAAACCTTGTTAGAACAGCTTGTCTTACTTTCCTTTTTTTAATATGACAATATGTTTAGATAACATATTACGACAGTATTGTCAATCTATTTATTACATACAATTCTTGCTAACTAATAACAAAAAATTTTATATTAAAATAATTCTATCGTTAAACTGTGGAAATTATTCTTATTTTTATCGATAAAGATGAATAACATTTAAATAAAATAGTAACCAATTAAGGAAATTATTGTTATTCATTTATGCTTCCTTTTTTTTACAATAACCCGCAACGAACCTAACAAGCTAATCACTGCCATGGTATAGTAAAGCACAATACACACACACACAAGTGGATCTACTTATCTTTAATCAAATTAGAGCAAGAGAGAAGAAGAAGAAGAAGAACACATCCGATTCCAATGCAATAATTAATAAAGATAGGAGAATGATAGTAGATATTAATCCTCCTATATATATTATCAGGATAAATTCTATCTCAAGAAATTAAATACATCGTTCACATTGAATAGAATATATATATTCGTACTAGTGACATATATTTTATTTGAACATTTATTATTCAATTGATTATGTCTTAAAAGATAAAACAATGAGATGACAGAGAACGATGTCTCAAGTGTTGTCTGATGAGATTATTTATTCATTTTGTTTATAATTGAAGAGATTTGTCGCATCGTCATCTGTAGATATTCTAATCAAGGTTTGTTATAGTATGTTTTTTTTTCTTTCTTTCTTTCTCTTTACCATTTTAGTTAGTCCTTGCTCGAAGGGAGAAGATCTTCTAGAACAAGTACAGATGTGTACGTATATATCTTGATAGATAGATATATAACGTTGTTAGTAATCATATGGAGAATGAATCAATATCTAGCCTTTTTTTGTCTTTTTTCTCTTCAATGTAGAGATATGTTAATTGACACGCATATTTGTTCAAGTGGTACTGCTATATTGCTATTATTTGTCTTCATGTATAAACAGGTGCTAGGAAAGACACACTTACTTCAATAAGTTGATTATGTATTTGATATATGAAGAATATGTGTTGGATCAATACACCTGAAACTTTGCTCACCTATTCACATAAAAGCAAAGGTTTGAGAAAAATTTCAGGCGTGCATTACCAACGCTTATCTATATTATAATATCTAAAATAATATGATAGACTAACAATTTTATCTTGATAAAATAATAGAATTCGAAATTTTTGTTTTTAAAGTAAATATCTTTGCTTTCTTTTTTTTATCTGAATCATCTATATAATGTTTTGTTGTTATTTTGACCTTCTTTTTTTTTGATATGGCCACCTTCTCTCTCTCTCGCACAATTGTTTATTGATCTTAGAAAATATTGATTGGTGATAGTCGTTGTATACTCAATTTTCTTCTTGTTATTCTTTTTTAATGTATTTCTTTTTTACTCGATGCATTCAGCAATGATTCATAAGTAGAGCAACTGTCAAAAATATATATTTTATATTTTGTTGTAGAGATAGGAGAAAAAAACTAGAAACGTTGCTATAAACATAGTTTTTCTACGGGAATAAAAGGATTATTTTGAATGAATACGATTTTATAGTTATTAAAAAGAAGAAAAGAAACATACCTTGACTAATTTTCATGATAATAAAATAAGTATTGGATTTATTAAAAGAAAATAATGAAAAAAAAGTTAAGTGGGTCAATGGATATACAAGATTGATCTTTCTATCATCATCCTGATCATTAGACACTTCTTACAGATATATGTCTATAGAAAGAAAGAGTGTTGTTGTATGTGTTTGCAGCGCAATGTCACTTTTCTCTCTCTCTCCCTCTCTTCTCTCCTATCGACTATGTGTTATGTACACGCCATGCTAGCAGCACAAAAAGAGAGAGAGAGAAGAATGAGATTTTTATATATGTGTAGTGTGATGTATGTTAGCAAACTCGTCTTCTCTCGCTCTCTCTTTCTTTTCCTCATTTTTTCGGTTATTTGCTTTCGTCGATGAGGACTAGTGAATGAGAAAAAGAAAAGAAATCGGCCGATAAAAAAAAAAGAATGAAGAAAAAAAAGAAGAAAAACTCTTTATATATATATATATTTGTGTGTGTGTGTATGTTGATTTATTTGGCATGGGTGGTGGTACGCATGGTGATAAGAAGAAATCATTATCAGAATTTAAATATATATATAATCGAACGATCATTTTACTAGTGACTATCATCAATTATATTGATGCAATTTGAACATAACTTCTCGTCGTCTGATTTTTATTCTCTTATATATTTGTACATAGTATTAAAAGAAAAGCGAACGCATATATATATATATATATATACGTGTATATGATAATTGAAACCACTATGATGACAGACAACAACTATAGTAGACTGATGTCAATACAATTAGTAAGACAATGACAATGACGACTGTTAGTAAAGGTGATGATAGTGCCGATGATTTACTTCTTTATTCTAAGTGACATTTATATCAGAACGAGTGTATATATATATAAAAGAGAACGGATATTGATCTTTTGTTAGGGCTACTTGCTTCATCATCTCTTGCATGTCTGATAATGATAGTCATACAAGAGAAATATGGCAGTAGGCAAAGAATACCATATGTGATGATAGATCATTACATGGAGAGTATGTCTTATGTAGAAATTATCGAGAACATTTGTTCACATGGTGTATTCTATCATTTTAACATTAACATCATCAGAAATCCTTTTCTTTTTGATTTTTATATAATTATATAAAACATTGAATTAGTTTTTCAATTATATTTTCATCATAATTAAATTAGTTTTTATAATAGATAATATTCAATTAAAGACAAAAAAAAGAAATGAAATATATTTGTGTTTAGATCAAATGTAACATATATATAAATCTAACGATTTTAAAGCAATTGATTTTAGTAGAAATAAATGTCATTCACGTTTTATTCCCTTAGTGAAATGATGTCAATAAGACGGTTAACGACACGCTGTTCCCAATCGACTGTCATCAATTGCCGTCGTTTCATTACAAGATTTGCTTTCTTCGGATACATCATTCTTTTTTTTCTCAAGCACAATCCATGTGTGTGTGCTTCAACCACTGACATTCTATCACGATAGAAAAAACAAAGTTCTTTTTCTCTTTTTTTATTGCCCTGCATATACACATCTTGGAAACATACATAGAATCTTGTTTATTGTATACATGCGCTCGTGGGTCCAAACTTCATAAACAATCTAGAGATAGGAAATGAGAGAGATGTCTCTTCTCTTATCGAGTACTATAATGGTAATAGCATCTCCCTCACACACACATGGGATCGCTTCTCTCTCTCTCTCTATCTCTCTCCCCCTTCCTTCGATTAAATCCATTGCATTCCACAATTGCTTGCAGTCGTCATCAGTTGTCGACCGTATATACATACTCATATATATATAAATCTATGATAAAGAATGAAAAAAAACGAGAAGATCGCTCATTCTAGTTGCACCAACCAAAAGCAGTTGCATGCGGATGATGTTAATTAACGGAGACAACGAGTGCACATCTCATTCGATCACGCATTCCGCTTCGGTGGGAATCCATAAGAGAAAAAAAGAAAAAGAAAGAAAAGTCCATTTAGAAACTCTCTTCTCTCTTTTTTATATCTACTCCAATGATCTATTTATAGATTAGAACAGTTTTTTTTATTACATGACCAGATAGCAACACTTGATTTTGCTGTGAATTTGAGCCAACTAATGTGTAGATATATATATATGTGTGTATATATGTTGAATCAACATATTGCAGACAACTTAATATTATCCTAACACGATCGTGTATTCAATAGGGAAAGAAAGAGAAACAAGGCAAATTAATAATGTTGATCGAACGTGCTGTTGCTCTTTTTATTTCTCTATATATAAGGTTAGTAATGTTCAAGACTATGAATAAAGTGTTAATTAAAGAATAAATGAAAACAAATCATTTATTGAGATCTATTATATTTCATCCTGTTTAAGATAAACATATATATATATATATATAATTAAAATATCTGAAAAGATTTTTTTTCCAATGAGAATTTCATTATATAATTCTATTGATAATGTAAATATTTATCAAAGTAAAATTTACAATAAATGACTAGATCATATGCATGATTTACTATTTTTGAATGAACTATAATTCATATATTGTTAACTGAATTCTATCATGCATTCAATTGTTTTATATATCTTCAAATGAATTTCAAAAATAGCAATAGTTTTTGTTTTTCATGTAGTCTACTTCGAAAAAAAAGACTTAGGATATACACTTAATTTTTATTTTTTCAAAAACTCAGCATTTCATAATTTATAAGAGTTAAAAATATAAGTTAACTTCTCTATTTTAGCTATAGCATCTGAAATAAACTTACGGTAATCTTGCGTTTTGTTATAATAGATAGTATATTATCAGCTTTATAAATTTAGTAGTAACCTAAACATAGGTACGTATATTTGATTTTTTGTGTCGATCGAGTATAAAAGAGTATTGTTAAAACGGAGTACAACAGTAAACATATCTTCAACTATTTGTAACCAACAAGATCATGTGGTAATCTTAAAGCAACTGTATAATATAGACAAGGATTAAGTTTTGTGTTCGTCGGTAGATACATACAATTCAATACTATTTTACATATAAGAGACAAATCATACGATTTATTTATTTTGTTAAAATATAATTCTTTCTCCTAGAATATAATCTTCATTTCCTATCTATTAGTGTTTGTATAAACTATGCTAAACATTTATCGTGCACTACTGTTTGATCAAATTTAAAAGTACACTTTCAATATAAGATATATTTATCTTGGAATACAGTTTTGTTTATTAATTCAAATCATTTTAAGATAATCATAGAACTTAGTTATACTAAAATGTTTCTTACCATATTTCTGATATGATAGTCCTAGTGATGCTTCTATACTTAAAAATAAATTTCAAACTGAAACCCAAATAGTTTTATTATGAAATATGTTTAGCTATGTACATGTTTGATATAGCGAAGCATAGAAGATTAGTTGTTCTTTTCGTATTTTATTTGTACTTATATGTTTTATAAAAACTATGAAAATATAGATTCTACATGAACCTATCATGGTTTCCCCCACAATGGTTTTTGTTTATCATAATCAACTATAAGTGATTGTTTTGCTTGTCCTAAAATATTGTCCACCAAACCATGATGGGTATCGTTATATGTGTAAACTGCTCCTGAATATTTGATTAAATCAAGAACAATTTCAATAAGTCGAAAGAAACGTCGTGCTGCATGATAATAACCATATCGATAAGTCATATATTTCCATAACAGTTGAACATAGACATTCTGACTTCCTAATAAACGATATGTACCATTTAGAAAACTATCATTTTGAGTGTCTTCTTGTTGATTAATAATAAAACAATTTGATGAAAATGCAAGAATTAGTAACATTAGTTTAATAATTATTACATCAGTATCTAATTTTTTACACATACGTATTGCTTGAATCATCATTTCTGATCCATAAATTATCGAAAATGTTTTCACACATATAGGATTATCAATAATTTGAGTAGCTTGAAGAAAAAGAATTGAACAAAGTGCAACTATACCATGTAAATTACGTTGATAAAGAGATGATTGTTCATTGATAGTTAATATTCTAAAATCAGATGAAGAACTTATGAATGATTGCATCGATGTATACATAAGAGTGATTGTTTCAAACACATCTGTTACATTATAAGAGGTATCTAGAGATGATGATAATGATGCGGACAAATGATAAATAGCATGACGTATTTGTGGTATAGCACTGAATGTGTCATGAGCATGAGTAACATTTGAAAGTAATGTCCATTCGGAGTTATTAAGTGGTGATCGATCATCATATAATAAATCTAATGTAGGTAATGGTGTTGTAAGCTATAAAGAGAGAAACAAAATTTTCTTTATATGCATAACTGAATAAAAATAATCTCTACGTCTGCCTTTAAATCTTAAATAGTTTCTCATAATAAAACGAATGAATGATCTATTAATTTAATCAATCAGATTTTTTTAATGTACCTTTAGTTGTTGAACAGCTATGACTTGATTCGTATGAGTATCTCTTGTCTGTAAATGTTTTTTTCTTTCTTGCACTTCTTTACGAATTAAATCTGGGCTCATACCCATTAGTAAACATTTAGCAAATCGACAAGCAGTACAATTTCGTCGTGTATTTATATCAATTTCACATGATCCATTTAATAAACATAAACGAATATTCTATCAAAAAATACAAATAATAATGATGTTAAATAGAAATATTACAAACTTTCGGATGAAAACCATTACGACGAAAGAATGTTTTACAAGATTGACAGGAGAGTGTACCATAATTAATGATTCTAGCTGAATCATCACATACACGACAGAGACTTGATTCTGTCGGATGTGTTGATAATAATGGTGATGATGTAGATAAAGGCCGTTTCAATGGCATTCAATTATATTTTTTCTAAAAATTAGAATAAAGCGGAAAGTCAAAAGTCTCAACATAAAAAAAATAGACAAACCATTTAATAAATTTTTTTAAATATTTATATCGAAAGCTTGTTATTAAGAAAATTCAATTTGCAATGCATACAAAAGCAATTAAAAAATATTAAGTCCGTTTTCTACAGACTAGAACTGACAGAATAATTTATCGTCGAATAACGACGTGATTAAGAATGCTGGAATGATAGATATAAAAAGAATTTTATAGAAAAACTAGTTTCAAAAGAACTGATCAAAAACTTAATATAAACGATATTGTTTACAGCATATCAATGAAGATATTTTCGTGTACATTTATAATGGAACAGTTTGATGACAAACAGAACACAATCGGTATGAACATATATATAGATGCGTCTATTTACAATTCTCATGGGGCAAATAATAAGAATGAAATAAAAGATAATGGTAGCTCGTAAGTTACGTTCAAATAAAATATTATTCATTTATGATAAGTATTCCAATAGAGTTGTATTTCAACATTCAATTCGAATCAACTTTCAATGGTATGTTATATTCGTGATCCATTATTAATTATATCAAAAGTTTGCATAGTATCTGAGTGTATTCACCATTAGGTATTGATCCTTTTATACAATAGTTGTTGTTAACGATTATGATTCTAACTATATATCAGTATTTTAATTTTTCTTCGTATAAGAAGTTTTATTCTCATAAGTGTTCAGTAATATTAATCATGAGAAATGAAGAAATTTAGAGAAAAAAAATGTTATTCAACTTGAATTATTTCCACAAGGAAACAGTATTGAGCATTCTATGTACTTAAATTTTTTAGCTGTCTTAAACTCTGGGAATTTCGTATACTTAGATATACATACAGATGATTATTAATTATAGGATGTACTAGATATAAAATATTAAAAATGATTATTTTTCTGGATATTAAGTCATATTAAATATAGTCATTTTAATTTTACACATATTATCACTTGATCTATATGTTGGTGAGAGTTATTTTTATTTTTCTGTGGTCTTTTGTGAATTTTTATCTACTGATACAGAATCTGAGCAAGATAATAAGCAGCACAATTTCGTCATGTATTTATATGTATTTCACATAATCCATTGTATAAACATAAACGAACAATCTACAATAAATCACAAATAACAATGATGTTAAATGAAAATATCAGAAACTACAAACTTTAGAAAAAACATTCATTACGACGAAAGAATGCTTTACATGATTGGCAAGAAAGTATGCCATAATTGATGATAAAAGTTTTTTGTCACACCCTTGACAATATCAGCGGTTGAAAATCCAACATAGTACTAAGGTACATTTATCCTCGGTACTAGTACTAAAATATAAACTTAGACACTTAGAACAATCTTGTCTTCTGAATTAAAATTTTAATTTTCTTTCTATTCCACAGATGTCTTCTACTCATAAAAAATGTTTAAAAAAAATCAAAAAATAGTCTTTTAAAATGTCAATGAATATCGATACTTCATGTATTAAATATTATATTCATATTTAATATTAACGTGATATATGTTTCTCACTTACGTCTATATAAGACTGTAGATGAATACGTAGTTATATTCAAATCTTCATTCTCAGTTGGAGAAAAAGAGAAATCTATTGATATAAAATCATATTAATCTGCTGTAGGATGATTTATTGCAATAAACTTATCGGATATAAAGGAAAGAATACTAATTCAATAAAATAATTCAGTTTAGTATGTTATCTGAGTAATCAATCAATTTTAAAAAACTATTTTTCTTTGTAATACCATTCTTTTTAAAGAAATGTTAGAGGTATCGATGTACACGTTATTTATTTGAAACTTAAATTAGTTAAAATAAAAATTTAATCTTAAACAAAACTACATGTGTAAAACTAAAATAGTAGACTTAAAGAAATGTACTCCTGTGAAAAAATGATATTTGAAATGTACTGCAGTATTATAAAATCTGATACGATTATTCTTTTAATGTTGACAGCATCGAAAGTCTAGCAGTCCTTTAGTAAAATGTCATGACTTTAAAGAATTTCACTTGACTTATCTTATAAGAGACTATTTGCGCTTTAACAGAAAAGTTTTTTGTGTAATTTTTTAAGAAATAAATTATTTACTCCTTCGAAGTACATCTGCTATTCTTCATATAGATCTAATTATTTCACAGCAGAGTATACATTCACGTGACTAATTAAATAACAGACTAAACTAAATCACTCAATTGAATTAATGTATATTCTCCTTCATATGCGACACACTGTGATAGTACTAAAATTTTAATCAAGATATTCTACTTGTATTTCTATGAAAACTTTTAATTTACATGTCAAAGCAATTAGTAACACCTCAGGTGGTTTTATTTTTGAAAAGAATAATTAATGTGAACAACTGGAATGCTGTTTTTTTGACTACTGCTTGGTATGTTATTTTCTTCATTATTTTTATCTTTATCAAATACTTTATATTGTACACATTTTTGTAATATCAGAAGTCATTATAGGTTTCTTCTATTAAAGACAATGCTTCGTTTTTGTCCCCATATTATATTCCATATGCAGTAAATGTATATTAGACAAAAGTAGATACTTAGATATTCAAAGTGTTACAATCTTAGTTTCTGTTTCATCCAAGGAAGTAAAATTTCTCATTCACAATGTTCGTATGAGATTTCTCCCCCTAGACTATGACTCATGCGGAATCTGAGATATATTCAGGATACAAATTTATATATTAGTAATCAAGTCTTTTCTCCATTTTTGAAACCGATTGATCAGTGAAAGAGATAATTTAACTAGAAATTTATCGTTTGAACACTAAAACTATAAGACTCTACTTGTTGAAAAATATTGATCAATAACAGTTGTAGTTGTTTGAATACAATTGACTAGAATATCATTTTTCGATCTTAAAAACTCTAGATAATATCGATTTAGTTCGAAACGAAGTATTCTCATACACTAAGAGTTAATAAATTTTTTATTGGAAATGACTATTGTATGCATCAATAAAAAAATAATATTACAAAATGAATTTTCATGTAAGAAGAAATATTTAATGTAATTAATAAACTAAAATTAAAATCGATTATCATTCAAATATATTCAACAGCAAACGAAAGGTAAAACTAGATGATTTTTAAAAAGTCTGAATTTTATATTATAAATCATAAAATCATTTATTTAAACTTATTTAGATAATATCAGACGGACTAAAGATAGATAAGCAGATCTTTATTTAAGACTAATTAGTGCAAATGTAAATCTCCTGACACCTTTTCTATATTTATATAATCCTAATATTGTTTAAAATGAAGCGATTTACTGTAAATATTTCTCTGTATATTTGGTTATCAAATTAACATAATAAAAAAAAATTTCTCATTCATGTTCTATACGGTTTCTCTATACTATATTGTTTATAAAATGATACATGTAACATACGTACTTCATTCACTCATAAGGGCCAACGGAGATGATCGCTAGTCGATTTAAAAAGACTGCGAAATTGTTATTGCTTTTCTTTATCGTTTATTATTGTTATGTATCTCGTTATATGCTTTTTTCTATCCCCTATCTCTCTTTCTCTCCCACAGTCTCTCGCTATTATTTCTTTTCTTTACTTTAAGAAGGATCAGTGGATAACTTAAGTTAAAAAAAACATTTTTTCTGTTCTTTTATTTTATAGCATAACGGAAAAAAAAGAAATTTATATGATTAGGGACGTACGGTGTCGGTGCAAATACTAAAATAACTGACAGTTAGCTCACTGAAGTACTGACGATCTCAGTGTGCTGGCATCATCAATGCTTCAGTGCATTCCAGTGTCAGTTATCAGCAAACTGACATCACAAATCTCAATATATGACATAACATTAGAAAATAAAGCCTATCAAAAAAATGAATTTATAAGATGAAGATTATTTGCAAGTCTCGTCTTTTTTATCTATCTTAGGAATACTATTGATGACATGATATACTTTATTTTAGAACGAAATAATACTATACATAAGTATATATATGTATTTTTTTTCGAATTAACCTATTTTGAGTATAAAAACATAGTAGATATTATCATCACAATGACTACGTTTCATTAGTTTATTAATAAACAAAAACAAAACTTTATATATCGTTAATAAATTGTTTATCACAAACTAATCACTTTACCAATACATCTCATTGTTACGTCACGCACAACAAAAATAAAGAAGATAAAAATAAATAGAGTTTAAAATACTAATTCTTTCCCCACAATGGAACTTGTTCATTCTGATTCATAATAAGTAATTCTTTTGTTTTCTGAATAAAATCATCAACTAAATTATGATGAGTGCGATTATTTATATATATATTTGCCGAATATTTGATCAACTCAAGAACAAGTTGAATAAGTCGAGCAAAACGTAGTGCTGAGGTATAATAACCATATTGACAAATCATATATTTCCATAAAAGTTCTGCATATACATTCTGACTTCCTAAAAGACGATGTGTACCATATAATAAACTATCATTAAGTACATCTTGATGAAAATCAACAATTGAACAATTTGATGAGAAGGCAAGTACGATCAACATCAGTTTGATAATAGTTGAGTCATTTTCAAGTTGTTTAGTAATGTGTATTGTTTGTTGTACTATTTCTAATCCATAGATTGATGTAAAGTCGTTCATATAATGATAATTGCTAATAATACGAGCATCACGAAACATAAAAGTAGAATAGAGAACTGCAATACCATTTAAATTACGTTCGATAAGTGAACATTGTTCATTGATAGTTAATATTCGAAAATCAGGTGTAGCGTTGATGAAAGATCTCATTGATATGTAACTGAGGATAATGATTTGAAGAGTATTCATCTCCTTGAAATGAATAATAGAAGATGATGAATATAAATTCTGAATAACATAATGAACTTGTGGTAATGCACTATATATATCAATGGCATTTATAATATTTGTCAGTAATTTTTCCTCAGAATTATCAAGCATAGATCGATCATCATATAATAGGTTACATGACCAAAGTTGTGGTACAGTCTAAATACAGCGAAGGTATGTTATTATAGAAAAATTCATTTTTTCTTTATATGTATATGAGATACACGAACTTCTAGTCACTCGTATTTTTATAACAGTTGTAAAAAATATAAAGTAAAGAGAACTACGACAGCTCGATTCATACGTACCATTTCTTGTTTAACTACTGTGTCGTTACTGATACTGGATTTAGATACTGTTGATGGATATTTTTTTTCTTGTTTTTCTTCTTTCCGAATTAAATCTGAACTCATACCTACTAATCGGCATTTCGCTAAACGGCAATCTGTACATTTTCGTCGTGTATCTACATTGATTTCACATGTACGATTGAAAAAACATAAACGACGATTCTATTAAAGAAATAATAAAATATAATACCAAATAATTCTTATTTTTTTGATTACAAACTTGAGATTGAAGACCATTTCGACGAAAGAATGTTTTACATGATTGACATGAAAGTGCGCCATAATTGATAATAGATGCTGTATCACCACATACTTTACAACAACGTATTCTGGCTGAATATTTTGGTTGTCTGTAAGATCTTTCACAGTTTTTATGATTTGACAATGGAAACATAGATAACAACTATTTGAGTGTCATGTAGATGTCAATCTATATATAAAAAAATACAGTACTTCTGAATGATGGAAATAAATAGAAATGATTAAGTGACTTGCAAAGAATATTAACTATTCGATATGTTTATGTTAAAGCTGAAGACTCAGTTATTTATTATTGAACACGTTTATATTCTTGAGATTATATCTGTCATATTTTCTACTGAAAATTGTTTTTTTTGTTTTATATTATATTAATAAAATGGCTTTAATTATTACAAGTATTACGGGGAAAATAAAGTAATATAATGAAATGTACTTTTTTTAGCGTGGAATAATTATAAGATCATAAAAGAAGCTTGTGAATATATTCATCTATATAAGAGATATATTTATCGAAATTAATAAATTTGGTGAATACTTAATTTAAAAAAAACTGTATAGTTAATAGTGAGGAACTTCTTCAAAGAAGTAAAAGCTCAGATCTATATTTAACACATCTGCCTATGCTCAACTGACTAAAATTCATTCTAGTGAGAAAAATATTGTTTAATAAAACTTGACTCTTTATGTAAATTGACCATATGTTGCCAGAATATCTTTTAAAAGTTATTAATTTAGCTTACTTTTTATAATTGTAAAAAGCTGTAGATAATAATGCAATTCTTCTACCGAAAGACGACCGTTACGTCCGCTTTTTTTTTTCTTTCGTTCTTTTTCGTCGCAAGCAAGTATATTGGCTCGTTCTTTTTCTTCTTCTTTTTTTTCCTACCAGGAGTCATCGAAACATTTTTGCGTTCTGTCACTTTCTATATTTAAAATGTCATCATGATATTATAAATTGAGAACATACAAGTATTATCTGTTGTTTTAAACGAAACATTAGGAACGATTAATAAATATTATTATTATAACTTTCAAAAAATCTACATACGTAAAAATATCAGATATGATAAGTGTACCCGTTAACATTTTCGGAAGTATTCTATAACCACTGTCTATGACAGAAAATGACTTTCTTAGTATTTATGAGATTTTCCTGTCTGTCTCCCTATCCTCTTAAATGAATACTTGTTTTTTAATCAAATAATAATGTAACAAAAAATGATTTTGTTGATGAATGCTAGTCATAATGTAAATTGTAAAATTATAAATATACAATTCTTCTTACAGTGACAGATTCAGGATTTCCATTAGAGGGTGACGCTTTATAAAAAAAAGTGGAAAATAGTATTTTTTTTTAGGAGAGAATTGTCACAGTGTTTAATTTTGAGGAGATGGCGGTCGCCGGATAGCTAGATCCGCCACTGTCTTCTTTGTTCATACGTTTTGAAGAATTCTTAAAATACAGCTGCAATAGATTCATCACATATTTGATAATCAATCATTCATACATTCATTTCGACTGAAAGCACGTATGTATACTTTAGAGAAACATTTTATCGACATAAGTTTCCTCAAAAAGAACATACCTAGTCGCCTCTTGTCAACAAAAAGTGATGATTTCCATCCGGTGACAATCAAATACATTTTATTAACATCCGTTTATTATAACCTTACCTCGTTTTATTTAAATTATGCACGAATAATCAAAATAGGTAGAGTCATTGTCAGTTTCATTTCTGTCTTTGTTCTTATTGTAATATGCCATGAATATATTCAATATAATAATTAAACTAGATTATATATAGTTCTACAAAAACAAAATCTTGTCATGAGAAAAAAAAGTTTAATCAAGAAAATAATATAGGATAAATTCTTAAAAATACTAAAGGCAAAATTAATCAAGCATTTGTTATTAACCGTTGTATAATCATGTATGCATCTATTTATTATTCATTCATAATGATATTTTTAATTTTGCAACTATATTATCATATTTATTCAACAATAAGTAATTGAGTATCATGTGAAAGTACATACTAGATAAGTTTTTGAGTTCATCTCTTCAAAATAAAAGTAACGTTCATATAAATTGCCTTCTTAAATCTAATATATTATTGCGAATAAGTAGGATATGATATTTATAACTGTCTGAACATAATGGAATGTAATTACAAGTTTTAGAAATCCTCTTTTCTTTTTGATATACTAAACAAATTAAGTTTAATTTCCATATCGTCATAAAATAGAAGATAAACTCCTTTTCAAATAGTACGTATTCGTAGTTTTTTATGGTTCAACATTATATCAAGAACTATGCATTTGATATGACATACATCTTATTCTTCTCTGTTAAAAAAACAAAGGAAGCACTTTCCATTCATTCATGCTTACGAAAGTTTTAATTTTATTAAAATATGCATACATATGTAGAAAAAAAGAAGGAAGAATGAATGTGATAATAAATAAATTATAGGATTAATATGAATAAAAATAAGCATAATAGAAGATCAATTGTTGTTACTATTGATTATTTTTGAATGAACTGAAAGTTCTAGTTAGTAGTTTATTTTATTCTTATCTATCATTAATGTTATTATTATTATAATAAGTAGTTTGAATACATTAACTTAAAGAACATTTTTTTGATTATATGATTTGAGTTCTATATAATTGAGTATTGTAATATTTATGTTGCTTTCTGAAAAGAAGTAGATGAAATACTATTATCAAATTTTCTGGTCGACTTGTCCTAGATAAAGAATTTTTTGAATACTTTATTCTTTCTTCATACACATGGCATGAAGTACTTTTGCGACGTATACTAAATATATCCGATGCATTTTATATACAAAAAAAAATTAGTCAGAAATTGGATGTACAGGATGGATTATAAATAACAGTGTGATAAGAAATTTTCACCTCGATTCGATTGAATGTAGGGATGTGACGATTCAAGTTCGTGAAGTGTACTGAGGAACTGGTGCATTAGTTCTCACTCTCAGAATCGATATGAAACTGTCACACACCTATTATTTATTTTTCATTCTTCAATATTGTTTCTTTATAAAATACTAAAAATCTATTTAATCAAAAATCAAACGTGTTTCTAATTCCTTTTCATTTGAAATGTTTTGTCAGATTCCTTTTTTGAATCAAATCTATAATTCAAAGTGAGACATACGGTATTCTTATTGGTATCGAAATAATTACAAAACATCACAAACTTAGAAAATTAAGCAAGATAATGCAGTTGAATGGATGGTTAATCTTTACTTACTTTATTTGAAATTAGTAACAAATCAACTTTCGCTTTTAATTCAACTATGTTAGATATTGCACGAGTTTTCTCAGTGAGATTTGGTCATAAAAAAAATTCTTTTTCGATTTCCTCTATTATCGAGCAATGTTTTTTTGTTTTCATCGAATCATTTAGTTTATATTTATAAAAGCAGACAAGGATATATTCATTTATTATATGAATTTGTATTCAAACACATGGCAATGGCAAACAACAAAACAAAATGCTTTAAATGCAATAAAGACAAAGTAACATATCATTGTGAAGGATGTTCAAGAGAATTTGGTTTAAAAGATTTAATAGAACATCAAGAAAGGTTAAATAATGAATTAAACCATATTATTGATGATTATGATCAATTTAAACAAACAATTAATGAACAAAAGCAAAATCCGCAAAATCATCCATTAATAAAACAAATTAATCAATGGGAAAGAAATTCAATTGAAATAATTCAACGAAAAGCCCAAGATTGTAGAAAGATTGTCATTAGATGTTTACAAAAACTTATTAATGAAATTGAAGATAAATTTGATGATTTAAGTGAACAAATAAAACAATTTCATAAAGAAAATGACATTAATATAATCAACTTAAATTATTTAACAAATCAATTACGAAAAATTACAGGAAACTTAGATGATCCACCCAAAATTTCTATTCAACAAAACTCACAAACATTTATTAGTGAAATTTCGATTAGTTTATCAATCAGTAAGTTTTTAAAAATAATATTAGAAAGAATAATTCTTATTTTCTATGAGTTTATATGTTAAAAAAGTATAAAAACAATTGAGAATACTATTGATTTATTTAATCAATAATAACAATAAAATTAATATTAGTAAAAAAAGAATGATAAGATATGAAATAATACTAAATTAAAAATAAAATAAAACCATTGTGAAATATTGTTAATTATTTTAACAACAATCAAATAATTAATAAAAGCACATTGTTAGAATTTCATCACTTTAGATATTTTATATTAAAGTTCTTGTTAAATTAGAAGAACTAAAATCTTTTTTATTCGTTTTTCTTATTAAATAAAATATTTCTTCATTCCATTTTAATAACTTTTATTCAAAAAAAACACCAGAATATTTTTTTATTAAAATTATCGTCCGAAGAACAATTTATTTTTATTTTCCAAATACAAAACTTCAAATGGTTTATGAGTTCTTTTGCAGTAAAGTTCTTTTTACTAAACATTTTTAACAGCATTTCATTCAAAATTCAACTTTGACAAAAACAAAAACAAATTTTCTTCTTCCTTTTCTAGAACCAAAATTCAACAAATGGAAACAAAACGCCATCACTGTGGCTGGTGGAAATGGGCAAGGACAACAATTAAATCAGCTCAATCGGCCTGTTGGAATCATTATTGATAAAAAGAAAAATATTTTTATTGCTGATTTTTTCAATCATCGTATTGTTGAATGGAAACATAATGCAAAAGAAGGACAAATCATTGCTGGTGCGATCGAGGAAGGAAATCGAATAGATCAATTGAATTATCCAACAGATTTGATTGTTAATCAACACAATCATTCAATCGTCATTGCTGATTATGGAAACAGACGGGTGACTCAATGGATGAACCAAAATCAACAAATTCTTATTGATAATATTGACTGTTGTCGTTTGACAATGGATAAATATGGATTTCTTTATGTTTCTGATTATAAGAAGAATGAAGTGAGACGATGGAAGATGGGAGAATATGACAACGAAGGAATTGTAGTAGCAGGTGTAAATGACAGAGGAAATCGACTTAATCAACTCAATTCTCCTACTTATATCTTTGTCGACGGAGAACAATCTATTTATGTATCAGATAGGAACAATCATCGTGTGATGAAATGGAGAAAAGATGCAAAACAAGGAAGAATAGTGGCTGGAGGAAATGGTGAGGGAAGAAGTCTCAATCAATTGTCTTCACCTGAACGAATATTTGTTGGTGATTTAGGTCAAATCTATGTGGCAGATAGTGGGAATGATCGAGTAATGCGTTGGTGTAAAGGAAAAGAAGAAGGTGAAATTGTTGTTAGTGGAAATAGTCAAAGAAATCAATCAAATCAATTGAATTGTCCCTGTGGTTTATGTTTTGATGATGAAGGAAATCTTTATGTTGCTGATTATAATAATCATCGAATTCAAAAATTTGAAATAATTTTGTAAATGTAGTGTTGGTTTTGAATAAATGAAAGTATTTTTTAATTTGAATTGAATTGAAATAAAAATTATTCGAAAATATATTTGAATATTTTCATCAGATCAAAATAAGCAAATACATTTTTACTTTTTCGATTTGATTAAAGTTGAAAAGATTTTTGTGTAATAAATTGACAAATTTTATCGTTGCCCAATTTTATATTTTTTGTTGATCTGAAATAGGAAGAAAAAAATTGGTCTTTGATGAATTTGTTAAAATGAAATCAATGAAAAAAAAGTAAGGTGTAAGTGTTGTTTTTACTACTCCTTGATCCATTTTGAGACTTCAAAGTACAATCTCTTAAGAAAAACGTCTTATTAGAATAACTCAAGAAATAATCAAACAAATAATTTACAATATCTAAATGAATTAAACAAAATATTTCGTATGAAATTAAAATAAGTTGAGGTTAATAAATATTCAATGAAAAATGTCTGAATTTCACGATGAAATCAATTCCAAGATCTATTTTTCAAATATTTTCAGTTTAGCTTGCAAAGATTATGTTGAACTATGGGAAAATGTCTTTTGCCTGAAAATATTATAATATTCTTTAGACAAATTATTGTAGAGCAGGACTGTGATAGTTCAAGCTCGTGAACCGTGACGAATTATACTAAAGAACTGATGATCAGATCTTTTCAGGTGAACTTGAACTGTGGCATCACTTCCTACTTTCGAAATCGATATGGAACTGTCACATGTTTGGTATTCCATTTTTATTCTTCAATATTGTTTCGTTATAAAACACTGAAAACGCATTTAATCAAAAGTAAAACGTATTTTTTCTTATTTTTCTTTTCCTCTTCACTTGAAATGTTTTCTCAGGTTCCTTTTTTGAATCAAATTTATAGTTGGAAAAAGCACAAAATAACAAATTCTTCTCTCTTCCAAAATAGTTAGAAGAATTTAATCGATAAAGCAGGAGTTCAAAGTGAGACATACAGAATTCGTATTTATATCGAAATAATTTCATTTAGGTAAGTTTGTTTTCTGAAATAATATGAAAAATGAATAAAAAAAATTCACACAATAACTAGTTTGAGAACGAAAGTGATAATAATGATGATAAAAATGACATGACAATGCAATTGTGCGGATATGAGATTGAAATATCAGTCAGCTGGTAGGTAAAGTTATAGTGGTAGATCTATGTTTAATCTTTACTTCAACCCAAATCTACATTAAAAGACTCCTTCATTGAATTAATATCACAATAAATATTTGGTTTCTTATTTGAAATTAAAAACAAATCAATTTCTACTTTTAGTCTGACTATCTTATATATTACATCAGTTTTATCAGTGAAATTTTGTCATAAAAAAAATTCTTTTTCTATTTCTTCGACTATACCAAGCAGTGTTTTTATTATCTTTCAATTATCAAGTTTATATTTATAAAAGTAGATAAGAACACATTCATTTCTTCTATAAACTTCTATTCAAAGACATGGCAATGGCAAACAATAAAAGAAAATGTTTTACATGTCATAGAGAAAACAATACATATACTTGTGAAGGATGTTCAAAAAGATTTTGCTTTATGGATTTATCAGAACATCAACAACGATTAAATGATGAATTAAATCATATTAGTCATGGCTACAATGAATTTAAACAAACAATCAATGAACACAAACAAAATCCACAAAACCATTCATTACTAGGATAAATTGATCAATGGGAAATAGATGCAATTGAAATAATTCAACAAAAAGCAAAAGAATGTAGAGAAAATGTCATGAAATCATCGCAAACATTTATTAATGATATTGAAATGAAACTTACTGACATCAGTAAGCAAATACAGCAACTTCAGAAAGAAAATGACTTCAACGAAATTAATTTAAACTATTTAACAAATCAACTGACAAAAATTACAGAAGAATTAAACGATCCACCAAATATTTCTATCGAACATGGCTCATATTCATTTATTAATGAAATTTCGATTATTTCGTTACTAAGTAAGTTTTTCAGGAAATTATTCCTAAAAGAATAATTCTTGTTTAAGAAATTATTTTAAAAACTATAAAAACAAAGAAAAGTGATGACGAAGATAAAAGAATGATAAGATATGATATAATATTATATGAAAAAAAAACTTTCTCAAAGATTCAAAAAATGTTTTATTGATAAAAGCAAAACTGAATTATTTTGAAATTGTTATTTAACAAAAAATAAATCAACAAAATCTTTTCTCTTTTTCAATTTTCCTTTTCTTTTCAAAACAAGTTATTTTTATTTTCCAAATAAAAAACTTCCAATGATTTATGTTTCTTTCAATAAAAGTCTTTACAAATTCAACAAAAAAAAATCAAATAAAATTTGTCTTTTCACTAAATATGTTTTCTGAATGTTTCATTGAAAATTCAAGTTTGACAATAACACAATCAAAGTTACAATGAAAATCAATCTTTTCTTTTTTTCTTCGATGAAAACAACTTTTCTTCTTCTTTTTCTTTTGAGCAGAATCTTTTGTTTTCATGCTTTTCTAGAACCAAAATGGGATAAATGGAAACAAAATGCCATCACTGTGGCTGGTGGGAATGAAGAAGGAGAAGAATTAGATCAACTCCATAGTCCTCATGGAATCTTTATCGATAAAAACAAAAATATTTTCATTGCTGATTTTGGAAACGATCGTATTGTTGAATGGAAACATAACGCAAAGGAAGGACAAATTATTGCAGGTGGACATGACGAAGGAGATCGAATAGATCAATTGAATGGACCAATAGATGTGATTGTTGATCAAGAAAACCATTCGATTATCATTGCTGATCAAGTGAACAGACGAGTGATTCAATGGTTGAATCAAAACCAACAAATTCTCATTCACAATTTTGACTGTTATGGCTTGGCAATGGATAAACATGGATTTCTTTATGTTAATGATTATATGAAGAATGAAGTGAGACGATGGAAAATGGGTGAATACAACAATGAAGGAATTGTAGTAGCAGGTGGAAATGGTGAAGGAGATCAACTCAATCAACTTGATTGTCCTAGTTTTATCTTTGTTGATGAAGAACAATCTGTTTATGTATCAGATAGCAACAATCATCGTGTAATGAAATGGAGAAAAGATGCAAAAGAAGGAAGAGTTGTGGCTGGAGGAAATGGTGGAGGAAGAAATCTCAATCAATTGTCTAATCCTCAAGGAATATTTGTTGATGATTTGGGTCAAATCTATGTGGCAGATAGTGGGAATCATCGCATAATGCGTTGGTGTGAAGGAAAAGAAGAAGGTGAAATTATTGTTGGTGGGAATGGTCAAGGAAATCAATCAAACCAACTGATTGGTCCCGCTGGTTTATCATTTGCTGATGAAGGAAATCTTTATGTTGCTGACCATTGGAATCGTCGAATTCAAAAATTTGAAATTATTTGTGAATAAAATTTTTATTTTGAAGAATAGAAAAGAAATTTTATATTGAATAAATAATCGAGAAATAAAAGGAAAAATAAAGTTTTATTGTTGAAAGTCAATGACAAAATCTAATAAATATTGAATAAAAAAGAAGTTTTTTATGAAACCTTGATAATGAAAATCGAATTGAATCGAATCTTGTTGAACAAAACAAATGTTGAAAAGACTTTTCTTTAATAAACTAATAAACATTGAATTAAAAAATAATTTTTCAAAATGTAATCAATGAAAAGAAATTCGATTTGAAGTTTCAAAATAAATCAATGAACATTTTGATTCAAATGAAAACAGAAAAACAAAGAATCTCGATAGAAAAATGAAGGAAGAATTTGAAATAAAATGAAAAATTATTAAAAGCTCTGAAATGAGACAAAAAGTTTTTAATGAAACTTTCAACGAGATTTGTTCTACTTTTTAAATAAATTAAGATAAATATTTTATAATTTCTTTATTATATTATATTAAATTTTTTTCAAATAAAGATTTTGTTGAAATATTTTAGTAAGTGAGAAAAGTTCTTTGAGGGTGTGGGTGTGGGTTTGGACAGCTGATAGAGAGCATACCAACACACACACTTGCGTTTGAAAATCAGTA